ACAATTTGAACTTTATAACTGTAATCAGGGTCACGGAAAGGCCCTAGAACGACAAAAACATGAAAGGCGAAATTTTCCCCGGACGCTGCCTTCAAACTAGCATGTTACAAACACGACTAGTGCACAAACCTGTGTGCACACAATTCAACGTGTCAAAACACAATCTTTACGAACACGAACAAAAATTGAAACAACTGGTTTGTTTACAAAGGTAAGCAACGTTGAATTACCAAATTTGGTCTGTAAATCCACGGCGATGATCAAAACAAAAGTATGAAAGTCTATAAAAATTACATGAACGGAAGGGATAAGTATTTTTCGATTTTAGGTTGCTCCTGCGCGACCTGAGAGCACCCTGAGGTTGCGCGGTCCACACGAAGTTATGAATCCTCATAATTATCCCCATTCCTCACACAAATTTCCAGATTTTTTACATAAGTCTAACCTTTAGATTAGCTCTACCTATGAGTATTCACCTTAGCCCAAGTTTCCTCCCCTATGCTTTGTTACGCTCTTGTTGACTTAAAAACTGTCTTTTTTCGCATTCCGCTTTCTAATATGATTTATTCATGCCTTTCTTCACTTCAATCCGCTTTTTTTTGCAGATTATTAGAGGAGCTTCTGAAAACATCATAAAAGCTATCTCATTATTTTCTGCGAAATCAGGGGAGACTTCGTTTTTGAATTTCTCATATGCCACCTCGTATGGGCCCTGTTTCCATCCGATAAAGTACCAAATTTGGTACAAGGAAAGAAGCAACATCCTTATTTGAAAAAAAGGGTCCGGATAACGGAAAATACCAAAATTAGTGTAACGTTTCGATTTTATTCATCCGCGTAGGAACAGAACATATGCAACACAATTATTTCATCCTGAAGTGTAATAGAGACTCGTTCAAACTGACATAACATCTCCAGTCATCGTCGTCAACGACGTTGAGTGGTGGTGTAGTTGTTTCGATCTCAAGGGTACCATTCAGAACTGGCAAAGTAAGATTGTTACAGTTCCATCCATAAATTAAGGTAAGAGATAGAAACGTACTGTGGCCAATGACATCCCATACAGGAAACTTGTCGAGTTCACTTGTAATGTTTCCTGTTGCTTGTGCTTTCATTGCTATAAAAGGAAATATGGAAGCAATAGCGATAATGTTTATTACCAAAACTGCATACCATCGGCTATGATTCTGAAGAATTCGTGCAGGTGTTGAAGATCCTGGTCAGAGACTCCCGCCCACGTTGACGGTGTCACTATAAGCACAATCGAAGTGGTTCTATTGTATTGGAAGCAATGTCCATGCAAATTTTCGTAAATGGATTTCTTACAAGGAAACTGATCGAAAATTATGTGAGATTTTTTCAGAAACAGCTGGTGCGATTATTCGTAGCCAAAAGATTTACTTGAAAGTTTTCTGCCCACAGTGCTCCCAGAAAGCTCAGGAAAAGCGTTCGAGTACTATAGCGGGAAAAGATTTGGAGTTCCTTCGTCGAGAATGAAATCTATGAGCCGCATAGATTACATATTTGATATACACCGCCGTGGGGGTGATCAGCATGCTCGATTACACCCCTCTGCCAAATTCCAGCCCCCTGGCTCAAATTTTGCAAAAAATCGATAAAATCGACATCGATCGATAACGAAAAGTGGACTGTGACACCCGCCGGGGCCCGAAGTGTGTGTGCCAAGTTTGGTCCGGATCGGTTAAGAAATGGAATTTTCTATTCGGAACATACGGCGGAGCCGGGTAAGCCAGCTAGTTATCGTTATAGCCCCATCTGAAGCCATCATCGCTAAAGCTGCAATACCAAAGAATATTAGTGGCATACATCTCACAAAATCTCGCACTCGCAAGTTTCTCACATAATTTGACGGAGCAATTCTTTTTTGGCCTTGATTGATAATTACAACAAAAAATTGGCCAAGTACAGCTAGAAGAAGCAACAATGTGCTAAACCATTTGGAACAAGCGCAAGCATGGCCATGAACAGTAAGTCATTACAAAACGTTGATGTACTCAAATTAATGTAGACCTGCTAGTCTTGCACGCTATAAATTTGCTAAGATGTGACTGTGGTGTAAGAGCAGAGTAGTATGATATCGCTCTAAAGACCGTTTGTCAAAATTTTCAAACTGAGCAGACTTGCACGTGTAATTTACGAAAGGTGCCATCCTCGCCCATGACGCCGTCAAACCACATGTAGGAAAAGTGGCCCTCACAAAAGGGGTTGACTGCGCACCGAGGTTCCTGCTCATTTTTCGAACTCTATGGACCTTCCTTTACCAGCCACTGAATTCTCCATTTCCTCGGTGTCTGTTGAAAAATAATAGAACCCATTAAAAATTAGCTTGTCAAAAATGCCTTTTTAGGTTTTATTGATTCCCCTAAGATGATTTCGCAAGAAAAAACAGGAACACTACAGTAATGTTACCAGAATTCTGCTGAACACAATGAAATTTACTTGGAAAAAAAGTTTGGGTCTGGAAAAAGCTGTGCTCGTTTGAATTTAAAGATGCGAAAACGAAAAAACACTTTCCGAATGACCTAATAGCAAAAAATTAAAGTCACCTTTTCTATGACTGGTGCTTCCATCAGATCCGAATGCCAAGATTTTGTTCGAAATCTGAAGAAGCCCTTCACCAAATAATTGCCCAAGCAGCAACTCAAATGATTTACTCGCGGGCAAAAAAGTCAAATCTAGACTTTGGCCCAGTACCGTACTCGAAGATAGGAGCTGATTTGTCCCTGCAATAAGAGTACGGTAGCGGACCCAGTTTAGGTTGAATTTGACTACCGCAGTTTTATTATATGAACCGCCGCTTCAAAGGCCCAACTAGAGTCACCCCTCCCCCGCCCTTTCAGTTTGCAAATGAGTGTTCCAAAGTATTCTATTTGTCTGAACCTTGCCTTCAGGTTTGTAAGCGGCAACTGAATTCCACTAGCCCATCACACCACTTTTCAAATAATGAAAAGGTAGATCTTACATCGGGAATTTTCGGCGTTCAATCTGGAGCATCAGTGTGAATTTTGAGGAAATAGTCCTGACATGAGCTGTTTGTGTAGATCAAGATTTCTATTAGCATCGAAGATTTCTAAAATGGCGCGAGATATGCTAATTTACCTTCCTTAATTTTTGACAACTGTTTCATCTCTTTATATATAAAGCAGAAAATCTGTGAGTTTGTTTGTACGCATTCCGGTGCAGGTTGTGCAGGGTGTGCAGGATGTGCAGGATGTACAGGGTGTGCGGGATGTGCAGGGTGTGCAGGGTGTGCAGGTGGGCAGGGTGTGCAGGGTGTGCAGAGTGTGCAGGGTGTGCAGGATGGGGAGATTAGACTGATAGATTGGCTCCAAACCGGAGTGAAACCCGGGATGCCTGCTCGTTTCCCTATAAACAATGTCGAGCCATCAGGCGTCTGATAACAGTCCCAGAGAGCTTACGGGGACTTCCGCACGACAAGCCAGATTTGCAGTAATTTCATATTTTCCTACTATCAAGTACGAGGGTCAAAATGCAAAATTCTGCAGAATTTGACGCGAGACTGGTTGGAAGCGGGAACTTCCGCAGCACTTTCAACAAAGGGCGTTTGTTGAAAGTGCTGCGGAAATTTTGTTTCAAGGCGAGGTTTGTTTCAAGTACAGCACTGGCAGTGCCGCTTTTCAAAACTGCGTTTTAAACGCAATAAAGCGCCGGAAGTGCCGCATTGCTATAACTTCTTTCAGGTTACTCCTATCGAGCTCTGATTAAAATATTTGGAACCAGCGCTGTCTGGTGCATCCGATAGTATATTTGAAAATTGAAAAATTCACAATTTTTTTGTGCCCCACGGCGCAACAAACGTGATATTGCGTCGAAAAAGCCGCATTCGAATAACTTTCCACAAAACTACTCTTTCTGATTTTCCTTGTTATATTCGGATTCAGCACTGATTGATCTATCCGACAGTATATTCAAAATCTGAAAAAGTCAATTTTTTCATGTGCCGCAGGGCCCAATAAACGCGTTTTTGCGTCGGAAGTGCCGCATTTTTATAACTGCTTTCATATTTATCCCACAATAATCTTGATTGAACAGTTGTCATCAGTGTCCCTCGAGCTATCCGCCAATGTGTTTAAAAGTTTGAAAATCTCAATTTTTTAGTGAATTACACGTTTTAAATTATTTTGCTCCCTTTTTTGCACTGATAAGCTGATAACGATCTTCAAAGTAATTGTACAAAATTCTGAACAACATATTTGTAATCAGTTCATCGCAAGCTATCCAATGATATGTTTAAAAACCTAAAATTCTCAAATTTTTTGTTTCCGATTTTATTGGTCCCTCATAGTGGCATTATTAGCTAGGCTGGCTCCGGCCCTTGGCTGCCGTGTCCTATCAATATCGATTTTTGCTATCATAACATGCATGGTAACAAAATACAGTACTAAGACACACGTTGAGCTTCACTAGCCAAAAGCAGCACCCAATGAATTTGATCCAGATCCAGCGGAATCGATCACTTGTTTGTGGTGGTTGTTAGCGAATTATGATGGCTGTTTGGAGAGAAACCAGCTATTGTCGACCGTAATAATTTTGGCGGGTCGAAAATACTTGCGTCTTTTTCTATATAGTTCACTTAAAGGCATACTTTGGACATATTTATGTGAATATCAACAGAAGACGTAATTGCGAAGTTTTTTCAAAGGGTTTGTGCTCGTTTTCTTACGCTTTATTTTCTTTATTTTCTGCGAAATCAGGGGAGACTTCGTTTTTGAATTTCTCATATGCCACCTCGTATGGGCCCTGTCTCCATCCGATAAAGTTTTTACCAAATTTGGTGCAAGGAAAGAAGCAACATCCTTATTTGTAAAAAGGGTCCGGATAACAAAAAATACCAAAATTAGTGTAACGTTTCGATTCTATTGATCCGCGAAGTAACAGAACATATGCAATACAGTTATTTCATCCTCAAGTGTAATAGAGACTCTTTCAAGCTGACATAACATCTCCAGTCATCGTCGTCAACGACGTTGAGGTGGTGGTGTAGTTGTTTCGATCTCAAGGGTACCATTCAGAACTGGGAAAGTAAGATTGTTACAATTCCATCCATAAATTAAGGTAAGAGATAGGAACGTACTGTGGCCGATGACATCCCATGCAGGATACTTGTCGAGTTCACTTGTAACGTTTCCTGCTAGTTGTGCCTTCATTGCTATAAAAGGAAATATGGAAGCTTTGAATATCGATAATGTTTATTACCAAAAGTGCACACCATCGGCTATGATTCTGAAGAATTCATACAGGTGTGTAAGGTCCTGGTCAGAGACTCCCGTCGACGTTGATGGTGCCACTATAAGCACAATCGAAGGGGTTCTATTGTATAAGAAGCAATGTCCATGCAGATTTTCGTAAATGGATTTCTTACGAGGAAACTAATTGGGAATTATGTAAGATTTTTTCAGAAACAGCTGGTGCGATTATTCGTAGCCAAAAGATTTACTTGAAAGTTTTCTTGCCCACAGTACTCCCAGAAAGCGCACGAAAAGCGTTCGAGTATGATAGCGGGAAAAGGTTTGGAGTTCCTTCGTCCAGAATAAAATCTATGAGCCACAGGCTTGATAATGGATTGATCAAGCCTTTTCAATCAGAATACGCATCAGAAATATCGGGTACTCGAATTTACGTGGACGTTGCCTCTAATGATCTGGAAAAAATGAAACCTACTCTCGGCATCAGCGTTCAAGCTATCAATGCTGGGAGGTTTACACAAAGGTGATGATCTTGCTTTGCGATTGACTGAAATCAGAAATAATCACACATGTATAAACAAAGCAAACAATTCCTACCAACACCAGACACGCTTGAGGAAATCAGAACCCCAAAGGCAACCAAGAGTAGAACAGTTCTCATTATGACAGTTGCCAATGAGTCCTGATATCCGCCTTTATACTTTTACCGTTCAATGATATATCCGCACTGGGTTTACTGTCATGTATGTGGTAAAAAAGTACAAGTTATTATCTAGGAATTAGCAAAAGACTCTTTACCTTTACAGCGGACAACAACAGAATGAGTGCAGCGATGAGAGTAAGCATAGAAATAATCTGATGAACATACACACAACATAGTGATCATGTGAGAAACAAGTGATATTTTACGGACATAGAGCTGTTTTTAGCAAATAGCAGGGAAATATTAAGTTGATGCAAAAATAAATCCATAGCATGCACTACTAAAGCATGTGAATATGGAAATATACGAATGAGGTACCATTCGATAGGACGAAGCAAGCTCTAGAAAATAGCTACCAAGAAGCTACCTACACATTAGGTCTACGTGAAGTTTGATGCCAAAATCTGTAAGCATTTGGACAGTATCAAAATCGGATCATCGCTTTGAGAAGTCCTACAAGTCTCCAGCTAGACTTCACATAGTAGGCATCCAACGTTCATTTGTGCAATTGCTGTAATTTTCTCTCACTTAGAATTTAAAAAAAAGGAGAATCGAAAATTCGAAAACTCCGTCTCTAACTCCGCCCCTTTCTTCCAATTCAGGTATTGTGTACCTGATGTCTCTAAAGTATAACTTTGAAATTTTAGCCCAGTGTCTGCATAGATATTTGTGAAAAGTCACTCTCAGTTTGAGAACCCATAGTCTAAGGCCATTATTTTTGCATCAATCTAATAATTTCGCACTGAAGACAAAAAACTTTAGATTATCTGTGGTAATGTAATACTGCAAAAAACCAGCGATCATGTATGATGTCGCTAAAACGTTTTATTTTGCATTCCGAGCAGTTGTGCTTCCGGGCGGGTCCACCCTCCACTACTTTATGACTGTTCTATCGACTATGTCAAGCAACCTTGCGTTCTTTCACACTATGCTTAATCCTTTCTGAATTAGTGACAGGGAAGTCCCTTCTTGACTTCGACGTGATCAGTCGTCCGTTTTGAGAGGGTAAACTTGCGTTAAGATTTTCTGAGCTGTTGCCTGCATGCATTTCTACCCTCATTACTTATTTCCAACATGTTGTGTTCCAGCTGTTGCGAAAGGGAACAATTTCATCCAAATCTGCGAAGAAAATGCACAAATATGAGAGTTTTCTTTCGATATCCTAACTAACAACCATTTCTGTCAGACTTATAGTTATGAAGGATGAAAAGTCCACTAATGAGACAAAATGCAACACTCTAAACATATGGCAGTCAACATTTCATGGTATCACATAAGTGCAGCTGTTCCATTAAGGGAAGGGTGTTAGGGCATTTTGAACAGTTCTGAAACGCTAAAAGGGACAAATCTCCACAATTTCTGTCTAGATTAGTGCTCGAGGACAACGCTTTTAGAGTTGCATTGTGCCAGCGCCGATCGAATATACTGCAGTGCATCCACTTCGGTACTGGCACAGCGCTGACACGGCGCTGGCACAAGGGCAACTCTGGACGTAATCTAAGCGATATATACGTATTAAAGTAACCCCTACATTGACAGAATTGCGGAGAAAAGCTGAAAAGTTGTTTAATTTTGTGAGCATGGAAGTTTGTTACAAGTTTCATTCAACCTGATGAGGTACCAATTATAAATAACATATGAAATAAAATTATTTCAGTTTCGACTCCAATATTGTACTATCTTTCGCCTAGGGTAAGGCTTTCCTTCGGGTATAAAATTGACATCACCGTTGTCGTTTTGCGGCTTTGTTTGTGGTTTTTCTAAAAAGAATTACTCATGAAAGATTAGATTTTTGTGCTTCTCATTTTTTTTTGAATTTTCTATAAATTATTTTTTACTCAATATTGAGGGCAGACATACCTTGAGGTAAGTCATTATCGTCCATAGGCTCTTCTCGCGGTGATTCTTGTTTCACTAAAATTAAGAATTGGATAATTTACAGAAAATAAATCAAATAAAAATTTAGGTACATGGATATAATTATCTTCTCTTATCAAAGGACCTACCATCGGGTATGTATTTCCACCAGTCACCAATGTCTTCCTGAGATTCTTTTCGCACAGTTTTCGATGGTCGCTTTGCTAAAACAAAGTGGCTATCAAATTTCTTTTATCATTCAATTAATAAGCATATTTCCACATACTTGTTTCTATAAATTGCCACCATTTGAGAGAGTCTTTACGGCTATTATCGATTTCTGAAGGGGTTGAAGTTTGCGAATTCTCACATGCTTTATAAGTTCCCTTCAAGACTGAAAAGCCAAGTTTTACAGGTAATTAACTTAAAAACTAAGGTAAAAACGTACGAGAACTAATGACATCCCAAACAGGATACGAGTCTTTGAGTTTACTCGAATACTCTTCATTTGTCAGGGCTATAAAAAGGGATGATATATGAGATTTAGGAGATAGTAGGATTATTTACAGTTACAGAGACATACTCGAAGCTATGTATCGGAAGAAGTCAAACAGCTTTTGAAGGTCCTTTTCTGGAATTTCCGATGACACCGGCAACTTGCGCGGGTCTTCAGAAACTTCCGATGACGAAGTAACGCCAGCGTTTTCTCTCAAAACTTCCTGTGCAGCTTTTTCCATTGCTGTAAAAGGAGCGAATAAATTAAAAGAGATAATAACGTTGTTCATGGTTATATACACCTACCAAAAGCCATGTTCTGATAGAATTCGTCATTCAGGTCTTTTTTAGGAACTTCCGGTGACGGTGGAAAATTTTCTTCGAAAACTTCTGATGAAGCTAGTGGAACTTGAATTTCTCCATCAGAAAGTTTCGGTGATGTTGGCGACTTCCGAAGGTCCTTCGATACTTCCGATGACGATATTGATTTTTGACTGTCCTCTTTAACTTCCGGTGACGATCGTGACCTCTGAAGTTCCTTCTCGGAAACTTCTGATGACGCTAGCGGGATTTCAATCTCTTCATCAGAAAGTTTCGGTGATGTGAGCGGCTTCTGAAGGTTCTCGGAAACTTCCGATGACGATAATTTCCGGCGATCCTCTTCAATAACTATTGGTGATGATCGTGGCTGTCGATGGTCGATTTCGGGTTCCGATAAAGCTAGTGGGCTTTGAACCTCTTGATCAGGATTTTCCGATGATGTTGATGACTTTTGAAGGTCCTCGAAAACTTCTGCAGACAATATTCGTTTTCCACGTTCTTCTTCGGTTACAGGTAGTGATTCCAATGTTTGACTGTCTTCGTCTGTAACTTCCGATGACGATGGTGAGTTTTGGAAATCATCTTCGGAAACATTCGAAGACACCGATGGATTTTGATTATCCTGGTCAGATACTTCCGATGACGATAGTGTCTCTATAAATAGAGCGATATTATAAATACTTAGTGATGTATTAAGATAGACCAACCGTTGATCAACAATTTACCTAAATTTTCCATTCTACGAGGATTCGCTCTGTCATAGCTATCACCTTCTTCTGAGAATAACCTTTTTGCTTCAAGGTTTGCTGTAAGATAGAAAAATGTACCTTTGCCAAATGTAAGAAAATAAAGGCTTACCAATGCTAGCGGCTGAACTTGCAGAAATTAGTAGTCCTACTGTAATTAAAAGGAGAATAGTTCTCATGATGCTGGCTGGCTCTGAGCTCCGACATCCACATATATACTATATTGTTACTCGTAGAAGACTGTAGTGCAGAAGTATTAGTTCTTTTAATCGTTTGGTGATATATCCGACGGTGGTAATCTGCTGTAGTCCTTTGGGATCGGCGAGATCCACCAGTGACTGCGTGACTGTTCACAACTAGTTTGTTGGGTAGTAAAAGAGTACAACCAATTATCTAGGAGTTCATGTAAGTCATCCTAGTTATGGCGCCCAAGAGCAGAAGGAGTGCAAAGCGATTAAGGCGTGTAACTGTCCAGAGAGAAGCGGCTAGCATAGAAGTGCATAAAAATTGATGATATCTGTGCAAAAGTGCATTTGTTTTAGGTCAGAATTTTACGTATTATTTAGTAGTATCCCTTCCTCTATTATTCCAGGTTCATTTTCGCAGGCGATCTGAAGCAAAACATCATGTCGGTATAGAAGTTGCGCTGGAGGTTTGGAACCCAAACTGCTGAGGTAAATTTTCCTGCTCAATAACCTAAAAGAGGGAAAGCTTGGTGAGATGCTGAGAAGCTGGTGTACAAAAACATTTTGCAAGGAAGTATTAGCGAATAAAATTTTGCACATCGTATATTGCCTAACTCCATTTTTACATTAGCAAGATTTAAGCTCATGTATGTTTTGCCTTCACGAGTTCAGGAATTGAAAGATGACTGAGCGTACTATATAAATGACACTGGAAGCTGAGGTCGAAAGACCCACGTGATCATCTCTACAAAACATTTGGAGTGTTTGTGTACGGCTTATCCAAGACCTTGAAAGCGTCAGTAATTTATATATTGTCAAATCGGAAAATTACCATATGACTTACTGACGATAGAAGCTGTCAGCTAAATCAGATATTTCAAATCTGATAAACATCTGATGAATCTATGACAAACTACTCAACATTATTGCCACACAGTAGTTTGCAACTTTGTAATCAGTAGTTTGGTATTTAAACATCACCTCAACGAGGATAAATTCGTCTACAAGGGCCCAAGGCCTAAGGCATAGTGCACGCGATCTTATCGCCTCGCGGTTCTCCAAACAGGACAACTGTTAGGAGTCCAGTGCATGCCAGTTCTCCTGCATTTCGGTCAATAGTTCTCCGAAACGACTAATGTGACTAACTATCACAACCGAAATGCAAAGTGATCGACATGCAATGAACTCGTAGCAGTTGTCCTGTTGGAAGAATCGCGAGGCGATGAAGTTTGCGTGAACTTCGCCCGAGTCCTAACATCAACAAAGGATGACCGTTTATGTTTCCTTTCGGTAACAATAAGGGATGAGAATGAAAGCATTGTGAGACTAATCAACAGCAATGGTCATTGATTCCAGTTCATTTCTTATTGCATTTCGACCACAACTGCTCGCTTGAAATTTTTCACACCTCAGCACCGCACTGACTCACACAAGGTTGGCCATTGTGTAGCGTTTCCGCTTTGATCAGAAGAAGATACGGTAAGAAGGGACTGAGTGACCAAAGCAAGAAAGTGCCTAATCATCTCGAGGAATCAACGGTAAGGCATGCGAGCGCAAAATGCCGTGTTTGCAAATTTGACGGCACGTCTTGTCGCCGACGGGTTATACGCAAGGTCCGGCGCAGATCGTATGGAAGCAGGCAGGACTTCGTTTGGGGGGGGGGGAGGAAAGAGCAAAGAGAATATCGCTCTCGCGGCCAAAAACTGACCTTTTTCAGTCGACCTTCCGTTTTTTGGGGGTTCTTCTAACGTTTAGGGCCGAGAGTCAAACGGACTTCGTAAATTTTCACGAAAGTCAAGAAAAACCTTATTTTCAAGCCTAGGAACAACCTCATGTTGAGTTGTGGCTATATCCGACAATTGCCACAAATCATCAACCCGCACATCAAAATTTGTACCAATTATACGCGCAGGTGGAGCCTGTAGGCGACATGACGTCCTCTCTAGGGCTGTTATATTTCAAAACTTTGCACAATGAGAATATAAAAGGGAGTTTAGGCGACCATGAGCACACCCGAAATACGTGAAAAGACTTGTGAGTTTAGTGCTTTTACCCAAAAGAATTTCTTCTGAACATGCTTCTTTTGTTTCAGCAAAGGATTATGATGATGAGAAAGGTAGGCCTCGGTGATGTAGCCAGCATAAAAGGCACTTTACGAGTAATCCTCACAGTTCAAAAGGTGGCCGTACAAGAGCTTGACAAGAAGAAAATGGATCTTGCTAGAGCCAAAGTGAATAAATCGAAGGCAGCTAGGTACAATTACTGGCCTTTATTGAGTCATCTTAGGTCTACGTGAACTTTTCAGAGCACAAGCTAAGCAGGAAGAAAAGAACTGGATAGAATTTCGCAAGCTTCAGGTACCGTACTCCTCCATTTCAAACGTTGAAAAGCTAATTTTTGAGCGTCTAGGTTTTGTATGATTGTCGACCGAAGTCTCGGGCAGCGTCTGTGCGTGATGATGATGTACGTAGTATATTGAGATGATTAAGTGATCTAATAAGCTTTCTTCATGCTTACATCAAAAGTCTATAATTATGTAAGCAAATACAAAACCCCAGTTTAAAGAGGAGAAACTGCGGGGGGGGGGGGAGTGTATAACTTCCAGAACCTTTGCAGAAGAATCCTAAAAATAAGTAACCATCCTATAAGTATACCTAGTGGTGTAATGAAACCCCCTCCCGTCCCCCGAAACTATCGCAAAATTTTTGAAGATTAATCGCATGAGTTGACAAAGTGTGCAAATGACTCACCTATGCTTACATGATTGATACATGATATATACATGATTCTTCATGCTTACATCAAAAGTCTATAATTATGTAAGCAAATACAAAACCCCAGTTTAAAGAGGAGAAACTGCGGGGGGGGGGAGTGTATAACTTCCAGAACCTTTGCAGAAGAATCCTAAAAATAAGTAACCATCCTATAAGTATACCTAGTGGTGTAATGAAACCCCCTCCCGTCCCCCGAAACTATCGCAAAATTTTTGAAGATTAATCGCATGAGTTGACAAAGTGTGCAAATGACTCACCTATGCTTACATGATTGATACATGATATATACATGATTCTTCATGCTTACATCAAAAGTCTATAATTATGTAAGCAAATACAAAACCCCAGTTTAAAGAGGAGAAACTGCGGGGGGGGGGGAGTGTATAACTTCCAGAACCTTTGCAGAAGAATCCTAAAAATAAGTAACCATCCTATAAGTATACCTAGTGGTGTAATGAAACCCCCTCCCGTCCCCCGAAACTATCGCAAAATTTTTGAAGATTAATCGCATGAGTTGACAAAGTGTGCAAATGACTCACCTATGCTTACATGATTGATACATGATATATACATGATTGCTTACATGTACATGATTAAAATGGATGTAAAATTTAAAAAAAGATTAGCACTGTAAAAAAATTCTTATGGGTTCGCAAAATTCTTGGAAAGCCTCCCATAAAATTTTCGGAGTGGCTAACGCCGCGCACCTTCATTCTAAGGAAAATTTTGTCTCCCCCCCCCCCATTTCCGCAAACGGGAATCCTGGGCACGCCACTGGTATATAGCACTAATCAAAAAAGGTTCGACTAAGGCTATTGAACGAACTGCAGCTTATACATATCATTTGTGGCTGAGAAGTTCTGCTCTCACGTAAGAGGTCGCCAGGTACTCGAGGACGGACGTTTTAGGAAAGAGTAGGTATTGGGCGGGAGTTCAGCATGAGCTACCCCTCGGGCAGTGTCTCAGTTGGAGAATTGCATTCTTTCTACATGTAATCAAAAGACTTGCCTGATGCTCCCTTTCAATCCTTTCTTTCAAAAAAAAAATACTATAAGGATTACAATTTTCGTGATTTTTTCGAACTGACCGCTGCTTACTTGAGTCATTCCCGCGACGTCGACGTGGTGTCTCTATGGGTTTCGGAGAACGTAAGGCATATTTCTTGGCGATACGTCCGAATCCAAAGTATGCCACTTGGTTTGGAAAGAAGAAAAATTGGCAGAATAAAAATGAAGTCAAAAAAGAGAAGTTTCTGGCCAAATCCAGAACGTAATCTTGTTTTTTTTCTGTATGTCTTCAAGGCGAACATTGATGTGTGTTCAGGCAGCATTGTGAAGATACACCACGATCTCAAGTATTTTGTGTCCCAGTGGCAAAAGAAGACCGAACTATTCTTGAGGAAGACGACGGTATTCTGGGAGAAGTTTGTAAGGTTTGAGCAAACAGTACTGCTTATTACGTACAGAAAATATCATCGAAAAGAAAGGAAATCATGCTTTGAATCCGCTTGTAAACGGCATACCATTCTGGATCGTTCCCGAGTATGTTTGGCCCTATTACAGCCTACAAAACATTCCCGTATTTTTAGAGAAGAAGAGGAGCTGAATGAGGAAGATTTACCCATAGATAGAGATCTGATAGAGAAGGCAGCTATGCTCAAAACTTGGTTCTTTGCAAAATAGACTTCCTACTTTAGGTTTTGGACGGCACATTCAATATCGCATCGAATACGTTAGCCCGCAAATGTTTTGATCCTTTCTCCGAAACAGAATCGTACAAAAAACTTGACAAGTTTTTCACGAGGTATGAAAAGATGTGATAAATTTTGAGTATTTGATTAGTAGTAGTGAGTATTTGATTTTCAGAGATCTTATCATCGGAGACACAGTCAAAACAGTTATAAATCTTCTAGAAGAGCCCGATGAAAATTGGTAAGCCTCTCTTTTGAACTGACTTTCTTTCGGAAAAGGGTCTTGCGTTGTAGCGTTTGAAGGCAGTGTCCAGGCTAAATCTAACCCCCTCCGCCATACTGATCTTGAGTGTAGACCTCGGGAGAGGGGCATCTGCGTTGGTACGGCTTTCAAATATTGTCTCTGAATGGAGATAATCGGCCTGAAACAACCAAAATGCTAACAAGCCGCCCAGATCCTATCAAACTCCGCCCACGCATGTACTGAAAGCCATCCGTGCCATCAAAACAGAGTCTCCAGGAATCGGGTGTCTAAGGGTTTTGGATAATTTGAACTTTATAACTGTAATCAGAAAAAGCGAAGCCCAAGTGGAGCTCACACGATTTACTAGCTGGCAAACCCGGATCCGCATTATACTTGGGTAATTCAAAAATTTTTCATCGAATGAATGAATATCGAATAAATTCGAAAAGGAAAAATTTCGAATAAACGAATATCGGATAAATTCGCAAGTAAAAAATCTCGAATAAACGAATATCGAATAAATTCAAGGTTCAAAAATTCTCGAATGAATGAATTCCGAATAAATTCGGAAAATCAAAAATATCGAATATATTCGAACATTAGAAGTCGAATTTCGAATAAATATTCGAATGATTTATCGAATAACTAGAGCAACCAAATCTCAAACTTGCCGACATATCTGGTTAAAGCCGATCCGTTTATAAGCACCCTCGTATCCCCTATACCAAGTCCTAGCTCAAAATTTTCCAAAAATCGCTGAAATCAATAAAATAGATTTCGGTTTTAATCAGCATCCTCGTTTACCTCCTATACCAATTCACAGCCCCGCAGCTCAAACTTCTCCAAAAAATCGATAAAGTTGGTCGGTTCGCAACTAGTCTATAAATCAGCAAAAAGTCATATTTTACTCATTATTGGACGAACTATTAACCTTATCGGGCCTTATTTGTCAGGCTTCCACTAGATTTCAAAGACGTTTAGCAGAGTAACAGATAAAATTGGCTGGAGCTGAAATCTAAAAATGAGAAACATTGCAACTTGGTGTAAGCACCTAACGAGCTGTTCGGATTCATAGCGCTAGGTGCGATCTTTTGAAGCAGTAACGGTGGCCACATATGTACTTAAATGCCACAAATGTTACGATACATTGCCTGTTCATCGGAGATTTTCGTCTTGTGTGGTATAAGCTAATCGTGGACGAAGGCATGTGGTTTATTCCGCGAAGAGAGCACGAATGCCCCTATAGCCCCGGGCATACTGCAGGCATCTCAGTGGCGACGTGGTTTGGCAATAGCCAAATTGTCCAATACTTAAAAAGTACAGAATGCGGGGCATTTATCTTTTTAGTAAGCTGTACACGCTAAACGTTTGTGGTAAGCTGGCGTTACATTTGAAGACATCTCGTAACTGGCAAATCGCGTACGGCGATCTGAACCGTCTAATCCTCCACTAAAACTGCGATGTCCTTTACCCAAATTACACCAATTCCCAAAAAATATCTAAGGTAGCGAATAGAGGCAGTTGTGCAATATAACTTATGCGAGCAAGAGTGCTCACTAGTGTGGGCTTTGTGTAACACAAAATGGGGCAATGCAAAGAAACAAAAACAGGCATTTCAAAACACTTTCAATATATGAAATCAGAACATGAGCTTGAATTCGATAGCTTCTTTGATGTTTTGGTGCCAATAGCAGTGCGAACAATCTCATTGATAGAAAAAGCAATTAAAGTCCACATATGATTTTTTTACTGTCGCAAGCAGTCGGAAGAATGCGTCCATACAGTTCAAAGGTCATAACGGTTGCAAAAGATACATTACCGAGTTTTGCAAAAAAAAAACGCGGACGAAGTGAGCTTGATACTCTGCAGTTGGCTCTGCAACAAAGTCGAATCTGAATACGAAGTCCATTCGAATAAATGTACGAATACGAATTCGAATAAACATTCGAATAAAACATTCGAATAAAGTCTATTCAAACCCCGTTTTCTGATTATTCGAGTTTTCGAATGATATTCGAATCCTCATTTTTTGATTATTCGAGTTTCGAATTTTATTCGAAACCCCGTCTTCTCAGTTATTCGAGTTTCGAATATTATTCGAAAATGGAAGAACTCCGAATATCGAATTTCGAATACGATTATATTTGAATGTTTTATTCGAATGATCGAATTTCTATTCGATTCGGACCCAAGTATAATCCGCAGGACCCTATAAATGATACATTCGTAATCAGCAGGGTGTAGGAACAACTCCGCCAGTTCGGGCCGCCTCCGCGCACTACTGGTCTGCAACGACACGCAGCCACATTGCAAAAGGACCAGTTACCAGCGGAGGCCCTTCAAACTGGCGGAGTTTGTTCCCCTACCCGGCTGTGCGTACGTTTGTTCCAAACAGAAAAGTTGACTTCTGAACCGACCCAGGCAAACTTTGCTGCATTTGCTTCGGAGCCGGGAGAGGAGGTGTCATATACTACTTCCCGTTTATCGATAGTTATCGATTTTATCGACTTTTTCGAAGTTTGAGCTACGGGGCTAGAAAGTGGCAAAGGGGCTATGTGAGCATGTTGATTACGAATGTATATTATTGACAGGGCCGGGCGGACCCGGGTTTACCAGCTAATAAATCGTGTGAGCTCCGCTTGGGGGCTAGGGGAACGAACTCCGCCAGTTTTGAACGGCCTTCGCTGGCAACTGGTCCTTTTCCAATCTGCATGCCGTTGCAGGACCAGTAGTCCGCGGTGGCGGTCCGATCTGAACGAGTTCGTTTCTCCACCCCACACAGACAAACAGAGACAGACAGACGCACGGACTGACAGACGACATACGTACATACCAACAGACATTCAGCTTTATATGTAAGACTTACGGCTTAGAAATGCAGCTCCAAACTTTAGCCTAGACCACCCTAGATAGCCAGATTTGCCAAGACGCTGCCATTGATTGCATTTGAAGGTGTTTTACAAACAAACTTTTTGCAGCATAGCACAAGAAAATACGAAGAGTCTCGTCACATGGGGAGCGCATGTGCTTGTGTCTCAATTCGATATGAACAATCGGAAAAATGAAGTTCCGCAGAACCTACGAATTGAACCGCTCAGAGATATTGTGCGAACGTCTCCGGCGATAACGAGTCAAGCAAAAGAATTTTAATTTTCTGCATATGAAAATAGGAAAACCAAATCATCGTTCATTAATAGGTCTAAGTTCTGATCGCTGGAATTGGAGTAGATTGCTCGTGAGAATAAATAGTGGTGGTTCTGCTATGAATTATTGTTTCTTGCTCTTTGGTGAATGATCTGTAGACGGATTACTGACATCTTCATCCAGTAGTAGCCAAAAACACCTTTGATCAGTTTGCTAGGTAAAACAGGTTTTTCTTTTGTTTAGTGAGAACCATAGATTTCATCATGAATGGTATCATAGTTCCACAGCTTTCTATACTATTGAATACTTATTGAAAAAAGGAAAAAAAATTGATTTTTAAATTCCTTGTTCCCCGACTGCAAAAAGGCTGTCATCGATTGTCTCCTTGCAAAAGATGCATTACCGAGTTTTGCAAAAAAAACGACTCTGTAGCTGGCTCTGCAACAAAGTCGAATAAACTGAATACGAAGTCCTCGAATACGAATTCGAATAAGCATTCGAATAAAACATTCGAATAAAATCTATTCGAAACCCCGTTTTCTGATTATTCGAGTTTTCGAATGATATTCGAATCCTCGTTTTTTGATTATTCGAGTTTTCGAATTTTATTCGAAACCCTGTTTTTTGATTATTCGAGTTTCGAATTTTATTCGAAACCCCGTCTTCTCAGTTATCCGAGTTTCGAATATTATTCGAAAGTGGAAGAACTCCGAATATCGAATTTTGATTACGAATATATTCGAATGTTTTGTTCGAATGATCGAATTTCTATTCGATTCCGACCCAAGTATACTATTTATCAAGCTCAGAAACAATGCGTTTACAGACTAAAGCATGAAATTATCAGGATGCACGCGCATTGCGGAAATACTATAAAGAACAAGATTCATTCGACCGTGAAAAGTCATATGTAACTTGCCCTTCTCCTCATTCATAGGATTTGGTAAGCATTTCTAACGATTAAATCTTGAGTAAAAACCTGTTTGCATTTTATCCTTGCAAATCCAATTTTTGAATCGTATTTTCCTTTTAAATTCGTTTTAGGAACAAAGATCTGTGGACACCCAAGTACTGTCGATTTTTGGTACAATGTCGCATCAGACACAAATATTTTGAAACGTTTTATCTGCTTTCAGTGCAGCTGTGATCTAAAGCACAGCACGTGTGTTCACGATCCCCTTTTATAAGTAAACATTTATCCGTTGGTATATAAAGCTCCCAAGTTCTTCTCAAAACGGAGAGTTCTACGGTCAAAATGCATTCATTACTTCTCGCCTATATTATTCTCAATCTAGCTGTACCTGTTACTACTTCTCCCATTGAGACTACAGAGAACAAAAATGTGTGGGTTCTCTAAAATCTTAAGAGCAGATTACTTGCTGACAATAAGCGATTTTTAGGTTCAGAACGATAACAGACGAATACCATGTTAATAAAAGGTGTGCTGAGGAAGACAATCCCTATATTGCGAGACATGACATCGTTAATAACATTGATGGAGGATTCTCTCCAAATCTTCCACGCACTGGCATTCGGCAGATAATGAAAGGATTATTGACATACTAAACTCGTCCATTATGGTGGTCTTGGATGAAGCCACCCGCCGTTGATTGCAATTGATTTTTATTTTCTTGCTAACGATGAGTGTGTTGTTATATTATTGTATGCTTATATTGTTTGTTATGTACAGATTGTATATATTGTAAATAACAAAAGCATTGTTGAAACTGCTATAAGCATAACAGAACTCTGTGAATTTAACTTACTAGTAGGTGGACCGTGCTTTGAGGTATGAAAAACAGAATGATTATTAATGATTAGTGGTGGTTGAGGTCGTGTCTTTGAGTTTCAAAAATGTATTATTGACGATTAGAACGCTTTGAGTTGTTCACTGCAGCCATAGAACGAAGCATTCGGTTGAAACTTTTACGACTTACGAAGTTGCCTGCAGCACATTGTGGAAGAAGAAATAAATTCCGAAGAAAAAATTCATTTTGTCATTTGAAAAATTGTGAAAAAGTGAGAATCTAACGGAACTCAGTGACTTCATTAGAAGATATTAGATTGGCTCGAAATTCAAGGATGTTGCATTTGTACAAGTTTTTGTTTCAATGTAAGCACTGATTGGGGTTAGCTGCATGCCGTTGGATAAACAAAAGCAAAATTATGGTAAGTGTAAGCACTATCAATGTTTTCTTTGAAAATTCAGGCGAAAATTCCAAACCAAAAATTTTGAGTTGACCCAGATTTCCAACTTCTATAAACGTTATGAAACCCCTGTAGAAAAACGGGTAATTAAAAAGTGACAAACTCCGCCCCCATTGGCCCTAGGCTCCTCCCACTTGCTTAGATAACAGTTACAGGCGAGAAGGACTACGGCTGCAATTTTAGAGGATGTACATGCATTAGGTTCCGAGAACTTTTGAGCCAACCTACAGTTATGACAGTGGAATGTGAAAAATTTCGGCGAATTTGGCGAATTCGCCAAAATCGCCGATGTCGCCGACTTTGCGTCTTTTCGCCATAACTCCTTTCGTTCTCAATAAATTTCATACACACCCTAGAAAGCAGCACCACAGGATGCAACGGGTTCCTACCATGCACTTACCGTAATCGAGCCGATCACAGCATTCGATATATGAGAAGATTCGTCTCGGCGAGCTGAATCCAAATCTGCCTTCAAATTTATATATTGAAAACGAAAGGAGTTATGGTGAAAAGACGCAAAGTCGGCGACGTCGGCGACATCGGCGAATTTGGCGAATTCGTCAAATTCTCAAATTTTTCACATTCCACTGTCATAACTGTAATAGTTGGTAATTTTTCAATTGAAGTTATAATTACTGAAGAGAGCATTTTCGGCAGCTGCCGATTTTTGCTTATAGAAAGAGAGCGCTTCTTCTTCGCTTTACACATGCTACCGGTTGTGGAAATGGCATTTGCACGTTAATGTAAGACAAAAAAGAGTTGATCGCTTCAGTTAAGGGTCTCCTAAACAAGATTTGGGACTGGCAGGGCGTTCTGCAGGAGTTGCGTGAAGCGAACAACGGTATATACTGTGTGTGCAACCCAACATTACCCGTACTCGATATCGTACGAGAAAAAAGCCCAATTGACATAGCAAGTGGATATTTCTAAAACCTGGCTTCATAACTTTCAAAACTGTCTGCAAAATTTGATAGGCGGCACTTCATCCAGTATACCGTCAAATCTCGTTGTACCATATTATCATTCGTTGCGCCTTCTCGCAAACCGCATAAATGGTGCTTCTTCAGTTCCATAGAAGGTCAAAAACAGACGTACACCTCTTTGGAAATGTGCGATTGACAAGCTGACGGAAGTAATGCAAAACGTGTTGCCCTACAGCGAGAAATATTTTAGGTCGTTACCAGTGGCGTATCCAGAATTTCCGTTCGAGGGGAGGGGCAGGGCGACAAAAAAATTTCCGATGAAGTGCGTGGCTTTGGCCACGCACTCCGAAAATTTTTCCTGATGCTTCCCAAAATTTTTTCGGGCTCCTGGCCCCGAAATTTCAGAAAAAGGGGGCGCGGAAGACAAATTTGAATTAAAAATTTTCAAAAACTATTTTAATTGTTAATAAAAACAAGTGGCTTGCAAATTTTCATAACACATTTACGTAACTTTCAAAAATTTCGCGATTCATTCTCGAAGGGGGGGGGGGGGGTCGGTACGCCACTGGTTGTTACATAAGCTCTGACGAATACGAATACTTTCAATGTCCGTGGCCGTTCGATACAAGATGCATACCAGCTAAAGCACAGTTAAACGCTGATTTTAAAGCTGGAGTTTCGGAACCCGAAAATCTCGACTACAGGCGGTCACTGAATTTAAAGACTTTGTCATGTAGTTTAGTGGCACAGAGGAGCAGGGGCTAGCGTGATGGCATTAGGTGCGAGTGGTGAATAGTTTGAATTGGGTGTCTGGAGAGTATCTTATGCTGCTTTGTCAGAAAATTATTTCTCAGGTCAAGTATGCCAAAACGGCTTTCAAGTGCTTACCCAACTCAAATTCAGAATGCAAAAGGGTTCGCTCCTCACCGGACTCGAAACATCAACCTCTCTCTTGCGAGCACGCTAATCACTGCATCACGAACGCACCTAGCAGCCCTCACGAACGAAGGATTTCCTAGCTTCCATAACTCCTTTTAGAAGAGCGTTAAACAGGAATGAAATGCCGAGTTGAAATTAGCGTTTAAAAGTTCCTTAGTTGATATGTATCACATATCAAAGTGTTAAGGCGAGAGTACCTCTCTTGTGAGTTGGTACGGCAAAAAGTCATGCATTTCTTGATATCATCCAGACTTCAGGGCACCGCTGATTGAACGAAGCAAGCTTTACAAGACATGCGTAAAAGTATGCACTAGCTACGATCCCGTTTCAAAATAATTTCACAGAAATTTTATCTTGTCCACTCGCACACATTTCACATCACACATTCATATGTGTATTATATGTATTGTATAGTTGCCGTATTTATTCCTGGCTAGCAGTCAAGAGAATAAATATTTTCAAGTTTTCAACAAAGCAATGCTGAGCTTTTCCCAACGATGATTGGATACTACAAGCTTTGATGTAAAACCGTGAAGTTTCAGCTCTCTGAAAAAGTTGGGTTTCGAGGAATATTGATTTAGCTTTCTTGACTAGGGCTTTAATGCTGGAATCAATAAATTGTCGGGAACTAACACTCTCAGAAAGCTGAAATTTTAGCCAGCTGCACCATGACTAGAGCTTGAGTTTGACAGTAACAGTAATCAGGACAAAGGACCTTTAGCGCAAATCGCTCTTCAGGACGAGAACATTTTTATTGAATAGAATTGTTTAGCGAAATTTCCGATGAATTTTCAAGATTTTCCAAATTAGCGGTTTTTATGCGTAATGACTGTGCGCTCCATTCTATTTCCACCGGTGAATTGTAGCATGTATCACTCCCAAAACAACACATTAAAAAGATAATATGTCACAATTTTTTCAAGAATCTGAAATTCACAGAGTTATGCTTTCAGCAGTTTCAACAATGCTTTTATTATTTACAATCTATACAATCTGTACATGATAAACAATATAACAAGACTATCCACATCGTTAGCAAGAAAAACACCCCACATACACTGCAACAAACAGCCGGTGGCTTCATCCAAGACCACCATATGTAGACAATTTAGTATAACAAATATCCCTTCATTAGCTGCAGAATGCCAACGCGTGGAAAATATGGAGAGAATCCACGATCAACTGTATCAACGATGTCATGCCTGCCAATATTAGGATCGTCTTCTTCAGCACATTTTTTATTATCATTGAATTCGTTTGTTATCCTTTCGAACCTAGAAAATCGCTATTGTCAGCAAGTAATCTACTCTTAAAATTTCAAAGAACTCACACATTTATATTCTCCGAAGTCCCAATGGGAGAAGTAGTAACAGGTACAGCTAGATTGAGAAGAATATAGGCGAAAAGTAATGAATGCATTTTGACCGTAGAATTCTCCGTTTTGAAAAAGAATTTTGCCTAATATACCAACGAATAAATGTTTACTTATCAAAAGGGATCGTGAACACGCAGTGCTGTGCTTTAGAACACAGCTGCACTGAAAGCAGATGAAACGTTTCAAAATATTTGTGTCTGATGCGTTACTGTATCAAAAATCGACAGTGGTTGGGGGTCCATAGATCACCTCAGAACATTCATGAAGAGGCAAAGACTTTTTTGCATCGTAACTTCGAGCCCGTTTTCAATGTGTTGCAAAATCGCATACAAATAGCAGAATTGGACGAGAATGTTGTGCAAATCCTCAAGTATACCGCAGTGCGCAAACAAGAGAGAGATGGTGCTGCCTAAATAAGGCTGCTCGCACCCGCGACGCAGTCTGCGTCTCTCCCGTGCGCGTGCCTTCCAGCCGCCAAGCCAGTTAAATCAAAGGGTAGTGCGCAAAGATTCTCCCCTGCCGGGAATTGAACCCGGGTCTAGCATGTGACAGACGCGGATATTCAACACTATACTACCTACGATTTGATTACTTTGACGTTATAAGGTTCCATCAAGCTTACCATGATGATAAAATCGCTTTTTTCAAATCTAAACGCCACATTACGAAAACTCGTCGCCGTGATCTTAGCTCACAGTTGCTTTGCTGGATTAAAGCGAACAAAGGATTTCGCTCACCATGGTGCATGGCTTTGACGCCTATTTCATATTTCTGAGCACTTCGTGGATTTTGAGTCAGCTCATCGAATAACCTGTTATCGAATAACCCTAATTACCTAATACTTCTGCCAATGTTCGGAGGTCATCTTGTAGAGCTTCCTTTGCTCTTTCGAATGGTACCCCTCACATATTTTTTGGATTTGTCTTATGGCTTTGCTATAGAAAACAGCATTATTTTCTTGACAACCTGATAGTAATAACAACATACTCAGCATAGTCGCACTAAAAATTCGGAAGAATTTATTGTTTGCATAACAGAACGAAGACATGTCAAGCTTAAAAACAATGTGCATTTACTGATTGAAGCAAGAAACTATCAGGATTCGGGACACGCATTTCCGAAATACTGTAAAGACAACAAATTTCAATCGACAATGGAAGGTCATATGTAACTTACTCTTCGCTCATTCATAAAGTTCATAGAGCTTTTATTTGCATTTTCTTCTTAAAAATCTTATTTTCCAATCTTCCAAATCGACAGATTTATTAGGAACAAAGATCTGTAACATTCCACTGTCGGTTTTTGATACAATATCGCAGCAGACGCAATATTTTGAAACGCTTTATTTGCTTTTAAGTGCAGCTGTGATCTATAGCACAGCACAATGCGTTCGCAATCCCCCTTTATGAGTAAACATTTATTCGCTGTTACAAAAGGTTCTCAAAATTCTTCCTCAAACAGAGACTCAAAATGCATTCATTACTTTTCGCCTATATTATTCTCAATCTAGCAGTGCCTGTTACTACTTCTCCCATTGAGACTACGGAGAACAAAAATGCGTGAGTTTTTGAAAATCTTAAGGGCAGATTACTTGCTGATAATAAGCGATTTTTTAGCCTCAGAACGATAACAGACGAATACAATGTTTATAAAAGGTGGGCTGAGGAAGACAATCCCTATATTGCCAGACATGACATCGTTGATAACGTTGATGGAGGATTCTCTCCAAATCTTCCACGCACTGGCATTCGGCAGATAATGAAAGGAATATTGACATACTAAACTCGTCCCCTATGGTGGCCTTGGATGAAGCCACCCGTCGTTGATTGCAATGGTATATAGGATGATTTTCTTGCGAACGATAAGTGGATATTTGTTGTAATATTGTTTATTATGTACAGATTGTATATATTGTAAAAAATAAAAGCATTGTTGAAACTGCTATAAGCATAACAAAACTCTTGAATTTAACTTAAGTGAACAGTGCATTTGAGGTTGTAAAATAGAGTGATTATTGAAGATTAGAATGCTTTGATATTCACTGCATCCATAATGAAGCTTTCGATTGAATCTTGAGAGTAAAACTTACGAAGTTGCCTGCAACATTAGGATTGAAGAAGAAATAAAATTAAAAAAAAAATTCATAACTTTTCACTTAAAAATTTGGGAAATCTGAAAATCTATACGAACTCACTAAATGCCAAATTAAAAGATATTAGGTTGGCTCGAAACTTTTCGGACGTCGCATTTAGAAAAAGTTTTTGTTTCAATGCAAGCTGTGATTGGGTCATGCTGCATAACGTTGGATGGTAAGTATAAGCATTATCAGTGTTTTCTATGAAAATTCAGGCGAAAAAGCATAGGATTTTAAGCTAACCCAGATTTTCAACTTCTGTAAATATTATGGAACCCCCATATGCTCTAATCACATGCTTACATTCAAGTTTGTAGAAATTTGAGCTCAAACTACAAGAAAAAGACGAAGTAATTGGAAAGCGGCAAGCTCCGCCCCCATTAGTTTTAGGCTCCTCCCACTTGCTTAGATAACGACCACAGCTGCAAAATTTCGAGAATATACAAGCATAAGGTTTCGAGAAATAGCAAATTTCTGATTCCTTTCGCACCACCCCCAGGATGCAAATCCGAAAATCAAGGCAAAAATATTAGGCAGCTGCTGATTTTTGCGAAAAGAGAAGAGTGCTTCTTCTTCGCTTCATACATTTGCTATCGATGTGGAGATAGCGTTTGCACCTTAATATGAGGCGAAAAGGAGTTGATCGCTTCAAAAGCTTAAGGGCCTCCTAAACAAAAGAAAGTGAATTTTTTTAGGACTGGCAGGGCGTTCTGCAGGAGTTGCGTGAAGGAAACAAAACACTACATAATGTGTGCGCCAGCTGTACCCGTAAACGGAATCTTACGGCAAAAGAGGCCCATAGGCATAACGAGTGGATATTCCTGAAACATGGCTTTATACCCGTCAAAACTGCCTGCAAAATTTGATAGACGGCACTTCATCCAAAATACTCCTCATACGTCTCTACCACAATATTATTCGTTGCGCTTTCTCGCAAACCACACAATTGCACACACAAACCGTTTTGTTCCCTCTCGCAGCTCCTGCAGAACGCCCTGCCAGTCCCAAAAAAATTCTTTTGTTTAGAAGACCCTTATGTTTGAAGCGAAGAAAGCGAATGGTGCTTCTTCAATTTTATAGAAGGTCAAAAACGACGTATACCTCTTTGTGATCAAGACAATAACCTTTAGCGCAAATCGCTCTCCAGGACAAGAACATTTTTACTATTATTTAGCAAAAATTTTGATAAACTTTCGAGAAAATTTCTTGATTTCGCATTTTTTATGCATAGCGCTTGTGCCATTCTTGCAGAAAAATTCCCATTTTTTCCACAGGTGACGAGTTTAAGATGTATCACTCATAGAACAACGCATAAAGACAATGATATGTTAGTTCTTCAAGAACCTAAAATTTACAGAGTTCTGCTATATTTTCAGAAGTTGTAACAATGCTTTTATTATTTACAATCTATACAATCTGTACACGATAAACGATGTAATAGCTATTATCCACTCATTTTCAAGAAAATCAACCCATATACACTGCAAACAATCGCCTGTGGCTTCACTTAGGACCACCATATGTAGATAACATTTAGTATTCCAATTTTTCCTTCATTAGCTTTAGAATGCCAACGCGTGGAAAATATGAAGAGAATCCACGATCAACTGTATCAACGATGTCATGCCTGCCAATATGAGGATCGTCTTCCTCAGCGCACTTTTTATTAACATTGTATTCGTCTCTTATCTCGTTGAACCTAAAAAATCGTTTATTGTCAGCAAATAATCTGCTCTTAAGATTTTCGAAGAACTCACACATTTTTGTTCTCCGAAGTACCAACGGGAGAAGTAGTAACAGGTACAGCTAGATTGAGAAGAATATAGGCGAAAAGTAATGAATGCATTTTGACCGTAGAATTCTCCGTTTTGAAAAAGAATTTTGCCTAATATACCAACGAATAAATGTTTACTTATTAAAAGGGATCGTGAACACACAGTGCTATCTGTGCTTTGGATCACAGCTGCATTAAAAGCAGATAAAACGTTTCAAAATATTTGTGTCTGATGCGATATTGTATCAAAAATCGACAGTGGTTGGTTGTCCGCAGATCACCTCAGAATATTCAGGAAGAGGCCGAGGCTTTTTGCACCTTAACTTCTATGGCAAAACCACATACATGTAATTTGAATTAGACGAGAATGTTGCGAAATTCTTAAAGTCCACAGCTGGGAAGCCCACAAACAATAGAGAGAGATGGTGCTGATAATAGTCTAAGAAACTCGAGTTTAACCATTGATTCAAATGACTTGGCAGCTGGAAGGCGGGGCTTTGTGACCTAAATAAGGCCGCTCGCGTCCGCTACGCAGTCTGTGTCCCTTCCGCGCGTGTGCTCTCTGTTAATTACTTAGCCCTAATTATGTCACGAAGCCCCGCCTTCCAGCCGCCAAGCCAGTTGAATCAAAGGGTAGTGTCCAAAAGATTCTCCCCAGCTGGGAAATTGAACTCGGGTCTCGCATGTGATAGACGCGGATACACACTACTATACTATTGAGAATTTGAGCATTTTGACGTAAAAGGTTCCAACAAGCTTACCATGATAATAAAATCGCTTTTTTCAGTCTAAACTCCACAAAATTATGAAAACCCATCCTAACCTCTGCACAGTTGCTTTGCTGGGTAAAGCGAACAAGGGATTCCGCTCGCCAAGGTGCATGACTCCGAAGCTCATTCCATATTTCTGAGCACTTCGTGGATTTTGAGTTAGCTCATCGAATAACCCGAGGTAAGCAAATTCTTTAGGTCGAGGATTTGACAAGCTACTGCTTTGAGTTTCTGCTCAGAAATCCACCAGCTTGCCTTAGCTCTGTTATACTTTTGTTATTACAGACATAAAATTTGTCTATTCAGTGATGAAAATATTGGATATGAATGTGTGATGTGAAATGTTTATGCGCGAACAAGTTAGAATTTTCGTAGAAATTTTCTGAAATTTTGATTGACGGTGTTGCAAACCAATGTCAAGCATAATTTAATACAAATAGGAAACTTGTTTGCTATACACGTAGACTTCGGAAAAATGTGATACTTTACAATATGGCTTCATTTCTTTACAATTTCATGATCCTTTATTTTCTCAAGTGTTCCATCAATTCATGTCCTCTCTTTTCTCCCATGAGCGATACTAATAAACATCATAATCTGCCTTTTATTCGACCGAATGGTTTGTGTGAAACACCATTTCAACAGACATGGGTACAGCAGGAGACATTCATCTCTGAACCTGACACAAATGTATTCATCGATGTTCAACTGCAACACCTGCTAGACAGAAATATTTTTCCAAAAAGTTTTTTCTGCGTACAGTAGCTATACAAATACATAATGTTTGTATAAGGTCTTTATATTTGTACATCAGTGCACTTATCCCAACTAATATACAAGGCCGTAAAAATTCCATCTGCGTGGATTACGCCCCGTGATCCACTGTCAAGTATGCATCAACAGTCCATCGCTTTTCTAATTCTCTTTTTGGCTGCACCTTTCCCAAACTCTCCCAGAACCGCGTGAGTAAAACGATATTTTTCAGAGTAATTTGAGTACATTAAATTCGCAAATTTCCAGGGCTGCAGGCACTTTGCGTTTCCACAAACACTACCATCCAAGCGAAAGTTACCCGCTTGGTCAAAACACTGGTTTTGTCGATAGTGATAATAATGCAAGTCTTCACCCTTTCAGTAAGATTCTGGGCTTGATGAGTCGTTAACATCTACGTAAATTTCTGCATAATTTTGTACAGTGTAAATATAAAACGTAACAAAGAGGGTCGTGTCTGATAGTTTCATACCCGTATGAACAACTGTTAATTTTGATCGGTGCACAACAATAAAGACTCATATATTCTGTCTTTTCAGTAGAGATCTTGTTATATTCTTGAGCACCTAGAGCCTACCTTTTACTCTTTATCATTTCACAGCATTTCAACATTTTTTAGATCACTGAGAGACAGTTTATTTATCTGAAATAACAAAAGTGCTAACAAAGCTAAGGCAAGCTGGTTAATTTTTGAGCTGGTCTAACTCCACAAATCTTCCAGTAAGAAGCTCAAAACAGTAGCTTGTCAAATTCTCGATCTGAAAAATTCTTTGTATCTCGATTTATCCGATGAGCTAACTTAAATCCACGAAGTGTCAAGAATCGGCGGAAAAAACTTTTCCAGGTTCCTCATTTTATTTTTCACTATGCACAATCAGTGTTTTAGATCAAGGATAACAGTGAGGCATAGAATACAACATTCTGAAAGCCTTATGTAGCTAAAGCAACAAATTAGAGCTCGCTTAGTGCAGCCTTTGGACTAAGCTTCTGACAATGAGCATCACACAGCGGAGTGCAATCAATTTTAGGCGAAGATTAAGGAATGATTCGTCCAATGCGAGTAAAATTCCTTGTTTGCTTTACCCCAGCAAAGCAACTGTGAGCTAAGATCACGGCGACGATTGTGTATGAGAAATAGCATTAGGTATCCATAAATTTGTAGAGTTTCCGTAAATCAACGAGATAACAAAGACTATCAATATTTGGTCAGTAAGGTTTGTTTGTTTGCTATTACGCACAAACTTCTGCCACCTTGCCACCAAAATTACTAGTCAGGTCAGGTCAGCTGACCCCTAACCTTCTTTTTAAATCATAGTACAGCCATGTATATCTCATATATTCTCTGTTCATAAAACCTAGGCACCCTGAAAAAGGCATCGGCAAAACGTCAGCTTAATAAATAAGTCAAACTTGTTCGGCTCAGTAGAAACATAAACTACTGTCACCTTCACATGCTTTGAGAATGCAAGTTCAGCTGTAGTCCGGTCAACCGCCGTGTTGTTCCTCCTTAACAAGTTGACAACGTGACCCACACGGTGGGTCTGCAATGTCTGCTACCTGGGACAATGGCCCGTAGTAAAGCTTGATCAGTTGAGATGAACTCAACTTATCCCATCAGTTAAGCTTAGGTGAGGTAAACTGATGACCGTCCACCTTCCCATGCTATAAGATGGTCAAGTCAACTGATAGTTGGCCATCTGTCCACCTGCTGCAGTCAACTATTCCACATCCGTTCACGTTGAGTTGAACTGAACGTGAACGGATGTTAGAGGAATGCAAATAGCGTGTAAAAGAGGAGACGCAGACAAGAGTTGACTGCATCTAACATAAGTTGCTCCTGAGTAACTTACGATACACACAGCTTTGCCAAAAAATGCAGAAAAAATCGGCGCAAAACTGCACAACCGCGCCCGGAAAGGAGAGGATCGATGAACAGCTGATTTTGGCGAGGAAAACAAAAAAACAAATTCTTCTCTTTTTTGTAAATCTTACTGATTTTTTTCTCACTGGCTGTACAAGACGAGAACTCATTTATTCATTTCATTGAATACACGCTACTATCATTTCGTTTTTTCATAAAAATTTCGTCACAAATTGTGTTTTTGTTTTATCCGTGTATTTGCTTGGCGAAGTCCTTGATAGCGATCATCATCGATTGCCATAGTGGCCGCTATCAAAGATTGCCCGGCGATGCATCAAAATGCAAAATGGTAGACGGAGTCGAACCACGGCCGCGCGCGCGTAATTCCAATCGCTTACCCGTTTGACCAAACCAGCTCGAGTGCTTCTTTTTCAAGTACACATTTGATTGCAATGCCTCGGCAGTGATCCGCATCCAAATCAATAGCTCGCCGTATGCTGGACTGAGGCGCGATGACCTCAACTCCGGTCCGCGTCGAGAGAGATGCCTTGATGGGGGGTTTACTACGGGCCAATGTGACCCACTTGGTGGATCGCTCAAAATTCGTTGAAAAGGCTGCTATTTCGGAATACATTCGTTTCAGAACTTCTCTTTGCTCGTGTAACTTTTTCGGGACACTTAAGTTGCCATTTAACATTCATCGCAAAATTGCACAGATTTTCCCCATGAGATGCTTCTCGATATCTCGATAGTAAGTAGGTGGGATACCTCAAAAAGAGCGATTTTATCATCATGGTAAGCTTAGTAAAGCTTATGAAGCTAAATCTTTCAGTTCTCGGTAGTGTAGTGGTGAGTATCCGCGTCCGTCACATGCGAGCCCGGGTTCAACTCCCGGCCGGAGAGAACCTTTTGCGCGCTATACACGAGGTTCGTATGCTATTATGCACCACATCTTTCTCTCTTTCTCTCTCTCTTTCTCTCTCTCTCTCTCTTCTCTCTCTCTTTCTCCCTCTCTCTCTCTCCATTGTTCGCGCACGGTATACTCGAGGAATTTCGCAATTACTCGTCTATTTTAACTATTTGTGTGCGATTTTGCAACACACGATCCAAAATACGGACTCCCGTAGAAGTTCGCTTCAAAAAGTCTCGGCCTCTTTATCAATGTTCTGAGGTGTTTCGCACGTACATGAGATTTAGCGCGAACTAATGAGGCAGAAGATCTACTGTGGGTTCCACAGTAATATAGGCTTAGAGAAACACATGAGCAGTCCATGAGCAAGAATCTACTTGCAAGTCTTCCAATTTTAATAATAGATATCGCAGACGCAGTTGAAGGACTGCTCAACCATATGAATAGGGATGTTCGCCAAATAACGAGCGTTAGGCTGTTTCGAAACAAGTAAAACGCTAAGACAAAACATCAAGCTTGAACAAATGAATCACAATCATAGCGAAAACGTCACACGCACTCTCCAAAGATCTTTTTTTCAAAAATAACTTTGATTCTAAATAAACTAGTTTGTTACAGCTGATCATTTGATTCGACAAAGACTCACATCAATTGTCATAAACTTACCCGTGTTTTTACTGCAAGCGCTCTTAACTTATTCCCAACCAAAAATGTATCCATTACTTCCGATTTTAATGCTTATATTCTTATCTCTTACATCAAGCTCGGCTATGGGTCAGACAGAGCTACGGTAAGCATAACCAAGTATAATTGCTGCACACGTGAGTGGCCAACTAAATTGTCAATTTAAAGAACAAAACGTGATTCTCACTCCCACGAGCTCGAGCTCTTCGGACACGGCCAGGAACTCCTTCCGAGAGAACATTACGGACATTACGGGTATAATGAGGAGCCAGGACTTGAGGGTTTGCATGGAGTTCGCAACATTCTTGGAGCGATAATTGATTGATTTTGAATAGACTTGTACTTGTTTCATGTTTATGATTTTGTGTTTATTTTGTTTATGATCTTCTGCTGTAGATAAATATTTTTTTAGGCTGTGTGGATAAGAAAGAGTACATCTTGACGATTGCTTCTCTCATACCTTTTTCTCATTTTTTTTCTATTCGAAAAAGAGGTAAACAAATTGTAGATTAACTTTTCATGTATATCATTTTGGGGTCGTAACTGGCATCATGATAAAGCTCAAAAGTGGAAGGGATAAAATTATGCGGCTTCGAATGAGATGAACTTTTTGATCATAAAAGTGAAAGGCAAAGTATTGGACTGATATGTGAAAAGGAATCTCCCGTATAAGAAAAAAGGAAATAAAACTTGAACTCGGATGTCGAAGATTTCGATTTCAGGCCTCTATGTATATGCTGAGATTATTTAACCGAAAGTTGAAAGAGAAAAACTTTCTTCTCCATTCAAAATATGACTGAAGCAAGTTGTGCGTTGCGCACACTTTTCTTCTTTTATTTCAATCTAAATTCGCAGAATACGATATACCATTGCCTTCATATAAAGATTTCTCGACAATTTTTAAGTTAAAGAGTACGCCCACATCTTCAGAGATAATTAATTATTTCTGCAGAATTATGTCTCATAATGTTATGTCTGTTTGTGCACAACAGGTTTTTCACTAATGACAAACGCGCAAACTTGATGATGACCAAAGCATACATAATTGATTGACTCTGAATCGATCGAATATTATGCAGTTTGAACAAACCTGTAGAATATTTTTATTGATTTCATTAACAGCTTCATGGCACCATGTTGGAGCAGCAAAAAGTCACATGTAAGTTTTAGCCGCGATCATATATAGCGAAGGGGAATTTTAACACTTCAGGAGTTTACGAGAGAAACGAGGAAGTTATGGTCCCTTCGAAGGTGGTCCCGGATACGGACGAGCCATTTTTCCTCCTTCCACTGCTAGTCAAGGCAATATGTGGGGTACGGGTATTGGGACGAGTGTGCATGTACGACTTGGCGGATACAATAATGGATTTTTGCTTAATAATAGTGTTATAGCTGTTCTCGATACATCCCTGCTTGTTTTCTGTGTGCTGAGTGCTTTGTTGATTTTTGAGTAATGTTGACTTCTTTCTCTTGGATAAATGTAAACTTCTGGATTCCTTTTCAGTCCGCAAAACTTTCCTTCGACCCGCAATTTCGAAAAATTATTTTGACATTTTTTAAAGAAAAAAATACTAGGAGCAGATTTCGAGTTACTTCGGTAAATTATAGGCGCTTCGTAAATAAACGGCAAGCTTATTCTCCTTCTTACCTATATTGAGCCTTTTGCCTTATTTGATCTTGCAAGACTCCAGTATCGAAAAAATATCAAAATTTATTGATGTCACTATTGATTCTATTACAGGGGGCTTATTCCCAAAGCCCTCTGTAGCTCTGAAAAGCTCTGAAAAGGATTTATTGGTCTCACGATTCCATAATCACCGTAACGACGTGGAAATGGTCTACGACCTCTTGTCGAGAATGGATTCGGCAAATCAGCCATCTGTCTCTTAGCTCGATTCTGCCTAAAACATATGGTGAATGTTATGATGGGTAAGGCTGAGTAAACTAACCCATCGATAGTCGAGCATTCTGCCAAGTAGAGGACAGATATACACAAGAGATGGCAGAGAAGAAATCTCATGGCTGCGCAATGTGACATTTCCTTGCAAATATGAGACATTGCAGAATTTGGTGGCCTTTTTTCGATATTCGTTTGCCAAACTGAATTCGCAGTGCAAATGGAGAGATTGCAAAATCAACACCTGCAAGGAATAACATCGAACTTCCAAAGATAAAGCGTTGAAGTTGGATTGAAAAAGATTTAACCACCTTAAATGACTGTTAAATCGATTTATCACTGAAAATAAAGCACATAACCACTGATCGACTTCGCGATAGCCTGTTAATGGTCCCATACCTTCCCCTAAATGCCCACTGGTTACCTCCGCAGGAACTGCGATCTGATTGATCGCCACCGTTTGCGATTTATTTATTGCCTCCTGTGTTGTCGCCACGTGCATCGCCATATGATATCGCTATCTTACCTATACTTAATGCTAAAAAGGGTGTGAACAGCATTTGTTGCCTATTTTCGGCAATACTAGGTATTGAATCTTATGATGGCCCCTTTCACCCAAAGTGCTGCTCGTGAATATCCCTGTTTTGAATTCGATACTGGAAGAGATTGGAACGAATCATTTGCGCTATAATCGCTCGATTACCTTAACTTAACCACTGAACATGACTTCCAACTTTCAAAGTTTCAAGTCAGCATAGTTTCCTACTTAGGTTGCGATTAATATCGAATTCTAGTATAAAAACTATTAATTTCTGACGCTCATCTTAACGTACAACACAAATTTTTCTCACTTTTACTTTTCTATTGGTTGGTGTGCTTGTTTCTGCTTGGGTCTACTGATCGATTTCATGAATAATCAATGTTTCGCAGCTTATGGAGATTCTAATATTACCTTTCCTGAATGATACTATAAGGTGGTTTAGGTAGCTGACCGATTTCACAATTTTTTATGCCTATGTTGCTTATCATAGAATCTTTGTTTTTTTTGTAATCAACATATGACAATTTGTTCCCTCATGGATTTCGTTAAGTGTAAGCTCCTTTGTGAAGTTATGCTGCTGCTTGCGAAACCTTGCGCGCAGTGCTCGCGCTCTTGGTTGTTTTCCTCGGATACAGGCGGCAAACTTTTGGTTCCTCATGCACCACCCACCGCTCCCCCCCCCCCTTCCAGGATGCAATTCAAGGCAAAAGGAGCATTTTCGGCAGCTGCTAATTTTTGCTTATGCGAAAAGAGCGCTTCATCTTCGCTTCCCACATTCGCTACCGATTGTGGAAATGGCGTTTGCACGTTAATATAAGGCAAGAGGAAGTTGATTGCTTCAAAAGGTTAAGAGTCTCCTAAACAAGAGAAAATAGACCTTTTTGGGACTGGCAGGGCATTCTACAGGAGTTGCGTGGAGAGAACAAGACGGTACATCATACCTTAGATAGTCTAGAGACAGGGCGTCAAAAGCGAAGGTTTTTGGACATCTGACGTCATAAATAGTGAAGGTTGTTTTAAGAAGATCAGAGAAGAGAAAATGAGGTGAAACAGATATAAAAAGCAAAAAAACTGCTGAAAGTCTTGTAAAAACGCTGCAACGAGGTTTGAAATCTTTCTGGCGGCTTTTAAAAGTGCAAGTTTTCGCTCCACCACCAGCAATTCGCAACACGGGGAGAGCGAAGAAGAGCTAATTTCTTTTTGTGATTGTTTCAAAAAAAAACATGTTTCGGAAGGAGTGGTTATCAAGAAGAAGATAAACAGGAAAGAAATTAGTTATGAAAACGCAAATATCTTTTTTACTAAATCGAAAAGAACGTCGAAAGAAATATAATCTTTGATGCGTCTTTTGAATTTTTACCCCCGCATTAACGTTCCTGTCTCCTGGGACGTTGTCTAAATTATTGCGCTTATTGTTCTGAGCAACAATCGCCCAAGCTGGAAAAAAATCGCTGCGAAAGCACTGAAACAGAACAAGGTGAACAAAAACGCACTTTTTACGATTTTTCGCAAACCATTCCATCATAACTGAAGAGCTAAGGGCTGGGTGGTTGTCTGCATTATGAACAGAAGCAAGATCTAAAGAATGCATGAAAAAACCGCGTGAAAAGAGTTAAACTAGGAGAAAAACAAGAGATTTTTTAAAACAAGGTTTTTGCCGGATTTCTCGAACAAATCAAAAAATGTGGTTCTGGGACGTTGTCAGCGTAAAAATAGAGATCAAGAGCTTCAAAATGGTATATGGCTCGCTAAAATTGGGTTCGAAACAGCGAAGAAAAGGATACCAGGGCCAAATGCCCCGCGCCCCGCGTTTGGGGTAGCGAGGTAGCGCGCAGCGCGCGGAGACGCGGACGAGCAGCTGAGACAGAGAGCCGACGGGGCATTCGGCTCTGGTCGTAGACCTCCGCGGGGTCTCAACGAAACCCTGCATTATATATCATTCTGATCGTCATAACACGACGAGGAGAACTGACAGCGTCCCAAGCTTTGGAAATCACTCATTAAAGAAATAGACCAGCGCTTTCGTGCGCAACTCTCTGCGCAAGATTTAAGCGCAGTTTCTCGTTTTTATTCAACTCCAATAGCTTCTGCAGCTTCGCCCCGAATGTTATTATCCTGACTATATCGGAACGAATGTCAATAAAGCATAGGGAATAATACCTTTAGGTTATCTCAGCGAAACCGAGAGTTTGCGTTTTCATAGCCTTTTTTACTTAAAAAGGAATTTCTGTGGAATTTTCGCCGGAATTCAGGACAACATTTTTCAGCTAACCTCTCATTTGACCAAAATCGAGTTCCAGAAGTTTGGGAAAGCTCTTGGAGTTGAATAAAAACGAGAAACTGCGCTTAAATCCTGCGCAGAGAGTTGCGCACGAAAGCGCTGGTCTATCTTTTAATGAGTGATTTCCAAAGCTTGGGACGCTGTCAGTTCTCCTCCTCGTGTTATGACGATCAGAATCTCTATATAATGAAGCGCAAGACGTGACCCATGCATGTAACATATCCACCCCTTCGCAACTAGATTCGAGGTAAACAACTCCGTCGTTATGTGCCGGTGCAGGCGCACCGAGCTTGACTGCTCACTGGGTAGCGGTGCCTGTCTTGGATGATGTTGATAAAGAAGCCTGACCAGCAAAGTGTACTCGCTAGCCAAGCTTAGCGCTATGAACGGGAAGGTTACTTAGTCCTGTTTTCGTTATGCATTGGATTACTCTTCGCAATAGCGAGGAGCAGCTTGATCCCGGATAGCTCCCGCTAGCGAGGTTTCGGAGTTTTGGCAAACATCAGTCTAAATAAGGAAAGCATATTGCATGAAGTATAAAATCTGAGCTGAAGGAAAGCGAGATGGAAGTCCACACTGCTAGAAGTAAAAGTATGTGAAAGTTTGAATGCCACAAGACTGAAATGTTGAGAAAGCATAGAGGAAGTTTGTAGAAAGGGGGGGGGGATTGGTTGGAAAACTACAGTTTGACTCCAGTAAAGGCAAAGATATGCGCATGTTTCCAAGCAATCAGAAATCACAGGTTTGAGCGGTCCTGACAGGACAAGTGCTAGAGTCGCTTTTGAGATATGGCCAAAAGGTAGATGAAAACTAACAAAATATGGCGCAAACACTTCGATATTGCTAAATTTGGAGACATTCAGACTTTCTTAGTGAAATGAATGAGCGTCGATTTTTCCCTAATAGAAATGAGGGGCAGGGACGTCTCTGCGCGGTTTTTCGAAAAACATTCATTTGGGAGACAAGAATAACCTCAAAGGTACGATTAGAACTTTGCACACTTGAAAAAATGAAGCTGAGAAAATGTGGACACTTTTTGAGGGAGTCTTTTTGGGAAGGCTGCAAAAGACATGCTGATAAGCCTTCTGGACCAGAGGAGGGGGGGGGGGGAATGCAACTCAATCTAACAGAAGAGCTTTCTATTTTTTCCAAGTTTTCCAGAGGATTTCTCAGAAACTGGCATACTATTTGTCCATGCTAGATGCACAGTCTCAATTTGGCTGTCTTGGAGACAGCAGGCTACTATCTTTCCTTGCAAAAAGCTGTAAATCTCGATATGCAAAATCTTTGGGAGCGAAGAAAAGCTCTGTTGTGTCTTTCATTCACTTAACATGTAAAACCTACAGGATTTTCACTTACGTACCTTTTCACTATTAGCAGATGTTTGCAAACAACCAATTTTTATACTAAGAAGAGGCGCTGTGGCAAACTTTTGCATACTTCCCATTTCACACATGGCCAGACCAAAGTGCAGCGAAGTGACACTTTGGTCTGGTGATATATAATGTTGCAGAGTTTCGTTGAGACCCCGCGGAGATCTGCGACCAGAGCCAAATGCCCCGTCGGCTCTGGTCTGTCTCCCTCGCCCGCGTCTCCGCGCGCTGCGCGCTGCCTCGATACCCCAAACGCGGGGCGCGGGGCATTTGGCTCTGGTACCCTTTTCTTCGCTGTTTCGAACCCAATTTTAGCAGGCTATATATCATTTTGAAGCTCTTGATCTCTATTTTTACGCTGACGACGTCCCGGAACCACATTTTTTGATTTGTTCGAAAAATCCGGCAAGAACCTTGTTTCAAAAAATCTCTTGTTTTTCTCCTAGTTTAACTCTTTTCACGCGGTTTTTTCATGCATTCTTTAGATCTTGCTTCTGTTCATAATGCAGACAACCACCCAGCCCTTAGCTCTATGATGAAATTTTTTGCGAAAAATCGTGAAAAGTGCGTTTTTGTTTACCTTGTTCTGTTTCAGTGCTTTCGCAGCGATTTTTTTCTAGCTTGGGCTATTGTTGCTCAGAACAATAAGCGCAATAATCCAGACAACGTCCCAGGAAACAGGAACGTCAATGCGGGGGTAAAAACGTAAAAGACGCATCAAAGATTATATTTGGCTTCGACATTCTTTTCGACTTACAAGGGAATGGTTAGATATCGAAGTGGCTAATCCAGACAAGCTGCATACCGTTAGATGCAGCATGAACAGGGCCCGGCACGAGTCGGTTTCTAGGGTTTCTGAAAACGAAGTCTCCCCTAAATTACGGAAGTTTTACGAAGTCCCCTTTGACTTACCTGCTTAGAAGAAGATGAAAACAAGAAAAAATTACTAGTCTGAGAGAAAATACGTAAGATAAGAGCGAAAATCCAAACTGGAGCTGAATACTACGCATACCAAGGCTTTGGCATTAGAGCGCGATATCTAACAAAGCGAGAATAAATGAAGGCAAAAAACAAAGGAAAGGCAATGATATGAAAATGTCTTCATGCTCAGGGATAGATTTTTGACCGGGGAATCCGTCCATGCTAAAAAGATCCGAAACTTATGTGAAGTAACGAAAATATATGCTCCAGACGATCTCAGATCGTCTGGTGGCCGTCTGGAGACGATCTAATTTTGGAAAAGGTATTACTTCACATAAGTTTTCAAATCTTTTTACATAATACTTTCGCAAATAATTTTCTGTACATATAGTTCAATTTTGGTGTCATATGCTTCTGTGTGCGCTGTAAACAAGCAATTTGTTTATTCTAGCCTTGCTTTCAAATCGCGCGCACTTTTCGCTATGCACGATAGAGCATGTCAATCGTGTGATAATCTGTCCGAAAAGCTTGTGTTCGACTGAATGGCGCTCATTCTTGGTGCTTGGCCTCCATTCGTCAGAAACGATATCTCCTTTGCTGTTTGCTTCAAAAACGAAGTCCAGCCTGCTTCCAGACGATCTGTGCCGGGCCCTGAGCATGAAGCGCTGACTCTAAATCTGTCTTCTTTATATGCTTATCACTTTTGTGGACAAAGCTATAAGCCATTAAAGCCAATAATTGCTAAGAAATTATGCTTAAAAGCGAAAATTTGGCCGTATACAGGCACGTTCGGCTTGATGCTGGGCCAAGAAATGCAGCTAATGGCCAAAAATGCTTACTTCAAACTCTCAGAGCCTAAAGCTGGGCTGAAATTGCAGCAATGTGCTCAATTTCACAGTTTTTATGAACGAGCTGTATACCGTTCGATTCAGTATGAAACGCTGACTTCGAATCTGTCTTTGTCTTTCTTACCTGCTTGTAGCTTCGTCCACAGAAGCGATAAGCAGGTAAGAAAGACAGATTCGAAGTCAGCGTTTCATACTGAATCGAACGGTATACAGCTTGTTTGGTTTGCCCACTTCGACTTCTGACCATTTCCTTGTTAGTATTAGGTCGGTGCAAAAGTTTTGTCAGTTTTTTCAATCCATCGGCAAGGACGCTAGAATGAACATAAACAAATGCTCCAAAATGTATCCGATGCAGAATTTCTTCATTTTTTTAGCTGCCAAACTCCCATTGTGTCTCGTTGAGAGAGTGCTGTAAAATCGCTGGAAATTGCAACCATTCGTTTTTACCATGTCCAACTTTCACTAATTTTCAAAGTTTTTGTACGAGACTTTCGGGGGAGTCCTAATAACCAGCAGATAGAGCAAACCTTTTGTTAACAGAATCAATTTTTTGTAGCCCTACGGCTTGTCTTCCAGAATTTCTACGATTTATTTTTTGAAGTGACCAAATTTTACATTCAGCCTATTCTGACCTCGTAGAACATGAAATGGTAAACACTTCAAGTACCATTCGATGCAACTTTTTCTCCTCTCTCTAACAGCTATCTTTTCTTGGCGAGACACGAGAAATTTGCAGGAAAAGTTGCAGATCTCTATTTTACGAGTACGCACTGTCGTACCCTATGTTTCCAAATCTCCATAATTCGAAGCGAAAATCGCTCATCTACTTTGTAATGGTATCGGTAGTAATAATCGAGTGTTGCAGCCTCAGTTTTCTGTAGGTTTTGTAGTGTTTGGTGCAATAACAGGTTATGCAATTTTTCCAAAACACAAGACTTTTAGAAAATTATTCAGCAAAAATCTGAAAAAGCAGCTGAAACAAGGAAAAATTGATTCTGTTAGCAAAATGTTTGCCCTGTCTGCTGGTTATTAGGGCTCCTCCGAAAGTCTCATACAAAAAATTTGAAAATTAGTGAAAGTTGGACATGGTAAAAACGAATGGTTGCAATTTCCAGCGAATTGCTCAGCATTCTTTCAATTAAACACAATGTGAGTTTGACAGCTGGAAAGAGGAAGAAATTCTGCATTGGGTACATTTCGAAGCATTTGTTTATCTTCATTCTAGCGTGTTTGCCGATGGACTGAAAAAACTGACAAAACTTCTGCACCGACCTAATAAAAAAGAAATTTGCGTTTTATAACTAATTTCTTTTCTGTTTATCTTCTTCTTGATAACCACTCCTTCCGAAACATGTTTTTTGAAACAATCACAAAAAAGAAATTAGCTCTTCTTCGCTCTCCCCCGTGTTGCGAATTGCTGGTGCTGGAGCGAAAACTTGCACTTTTAAAAGCCGCCAGAAAGATTTCAAACCTCATTGCAGCGTTTTTATCCGACTTACAGCAGTTTTTTTGCTTTTTATATCTGTTTTACGTCATTTTCTCTTATCTGATCTTCTTAAGACAACCTTTACTAATTATGACGTCAGATGTCCAAACAATCTTCACTTTTGACGCCCTGTCTCTAAACTATCTAAGGTATGATAGTGAATGTGCCTCCATTCTTGCAATAAAATTCACATTTGTTCCTACAGGTGACGATTGTAAGATGTATCACTATTGGAATAACGCATAAAAAATATGATGTCACAGTTCTTTCAAGAGCCTAAATTCACAGAGTTCTGTCATGCTTTCAGCAGTTTAACAAGCTTTTAATATTTACAATATATACAATCTGTACACGATAAACGATGTAATAGCTATTATCCGCTCATTCTCAAGAAAATCACCCCATATACACTGCAAACAACTGCCGGTGGCTTCACCCAGGACCACCATATGTAGACAACATTTAGTATTCCAATTTTTCCTTCATTAGCTTCAAAATGCCAATGCGTGGAAAATATGGAGAGAATCCGCGATCAACTGTATCAACGATGTCATGCCTGCCAATATGAGGATCGTCTTCCTCAGCACACTTTTTATTAACATTGTATTCGTCTCTTATCTCGTTGAACCTAAAAAATTGTCAGCAAGTTACTCTTAAGATTTTCAAAAACTCACACATTTTTGTTCTCCGAAGTCCCTATGGGAGAAGTAGCAACAGGTACAGCTAGATTGAGAAGAATATAGGTGAGAAGTAATGAATGCATTTTGACCGCAGAACTCTTCGTTTTGAAAAAAAAATTTCGAGCTCCTAATATACCAACGAATAAATGTTTACTCATGAAAAGGGATTGTGAACACACAGTGCTGCGCTTCAGATCACAGCTGCATCAAAAGCAGATAGAACGTTTCAAAATATTTGTGCCTGATGCGATATTGTATCAAAAATTGAACGATGCTGAATGTTCACAGATCTCTATTTCTAGTGGAACTGTTGAATTTTAAGGCTGAAAAATGAGATTTGCAAGAAGAAAATGCAAATAAAATTATACTTAAGACATAGTCGTTAGAAATTCTTATCAAATCCACGAATGAGGCAAAGAGTAAGTTACACATGGTCTTCCACAGTAGATTGAAGTTTGTTGTCTTTATAGCATTTCGGACATGGGTTGTGACTCCTGACAATTTCATGCTTTGATCAGTAAATGCACATTGTTTCTAAACTGGATTAATAGATGTTTTTGTTAGGTCATGCAAACAACGAACTCTTCTAAAATTTGATTGTAAACTGTGTTAGCGCGTCTATGCTAATAAGGAAGGTGATTATGGCCTTCTGCGGTGAGATGTATTCTATTCATATTTGGAGATGATGTAATGTCAAATTCAAGCCTGATATTCTATACCAATTTTGCTAGTTGTGAGCACGATATTAATGTGTGCAAAAATTCTTCGTAAGCTAACAATATTTAAGCGCTTACTCTAGCCGTCCGTAAAGTTTCTTCGCGCGCACAAGTGATTATGGTTAATTAGCATGCTGGAAACTCTAAACAAAAAATTCGGGCAACTTCATCTATCTCAGTATACTTATCGCTCGGAGCTGCGACCTAAAGATCCTGTGTGGGTTATTCACTGACCCTCGAGTTATTTAACCAATGTAGCATTCTTAGTTCATATACAACCAGTGCGTCACCTCTGCTTCGCAGAGGCTCGCACTGGCTCTGCTATCTAAGCCCTATTCATTCTCGTTTAATGACGGCATTGATCACCGAGCAATGCCGACTATCACGAACAAAATGTAAACAACTACTCATTCTGGAAGCTTTTTCATGTAAAATAGGTGATGTCGCGTGGATGATACTTTTTGTACGAGAACTAAGCAAACTTTATAGATTTTTGATTTTCCCATGGTCCTGACAGTCGCCATAAAAACAGTTGTCACCGTGAGCTACATTTTTGTGCAAAAATCTCGTCAAATGCTCTGGTAAAAGCTTGGTAAATTCACCATTTACGCAACCAATACTTTTGGCGCCGTTTTTGTAAAGTAATGCACTCTTGATCACTTTTTGGGCCTAGGTTTACGGCTTGAACATATTTACTTGCCATAAACATCCACGTCTCTGCAAAAATTTGAATTACGGACCCAATTTTGGGGTCTAGAGGCAAAGTGGATTTGACGCGCAATTTCTAAGAGATTACTCAACGAATCTGCTTGTGCGTGGCAAGTGCTATGCAAAATTTGAGCTCAGGACGTTGGCTGGAACACGCTCTACGAATTTCGTGACGCAGACAGAGATATCATCTATGACTTAATAATAACGGGCTAAGGGTTGTTTACGTCTGTTTGTCTGTCTGTCTGTGTGTACGTCTGTCTGTCACGAAATTCGTAGAGCGTGCTCCAGCAAACGTTCTAAGCCCAAATTTTGCATAGCGCATGCTACCTTCATGGAAGCCCAATATGCAAAAGCACGATTAGATTCGTTGAGTGGATCCCTCAGAAATTGCGCGCCAAACGGATCCACCTGGCTTCTGTGCCGCAAAATTCGGTCCGTATCACCACTTTTTCAGAGTCGTGGATGAGTTTGGTAAGCAAATGTGCAAGCGATGGAGTTTAGCTAGAAAAGTGCTTGAAAGTTTACTACATAACGAAAGCGGCGCCAAAACGAATTGGTTGTGTAAATGGTCAATTTGCCAAGGTTCTAGCTAAGCGTTTGAGAAGATTTTCGCACAGAGATGTAGCTCACGGTTATAATTACCTTCATGGCGACTACCAAATAATGACAAATCCAAAAACCTATTCAAATTTGCGTTTGTGTTCCTGCGAAAAGTTTCATCCATGCGAAATCACCGATCTCACGTGAAAATACTTTCTAAATGAGTGGTTGTTTACATTTTATTCGTAGTAGTCGGCATAGCGCGGTGAGTTCCAGTGCCATGATTTTACGAGGATGAGAAAGGCACATAGATAGTAGAGCCAGTGCGAACCTCTGCGAAGCAGAGGTGACGCACTGGTAACTTATAATAACGGGCTAAGGGTTGTTTGCGTGTTTTTGTGTGTGTGTGTGTGTGTCTGAATGTCTGTCTGTCACGAAATTCACAGAGCAAGTTCCAGCTAAGGTCTTGAGCTAGAATTTTGACCATAGCACCCTGTCAGCATATAGATCAACTGTGCAAAAGCCCAAGCCGATTCGATAAGCGGGACCAGTGGAAAATGTGGTCCAAATGGATCCATGCGGGTTTTCGCCTACAAAACTGGATCTAAACCAAGACTCTTTGCAAAATTATGCAGTCCTTTGGTATGTATTCCTCAAGCCATTGACTTTAGCTTTAAAAAATAATCAAAAATCACATTGTTTCGAGACAACGGCTCCAAAAATGATGATTGCATAGATGGTCGTTTTCTGAAGGTTCTACGAAAGAATTCAAAAAGATTTTTGCTCGGAGATTTAGCCCTCGGCAGTCGTTGCCATTATAGCAAATATCAAGACATTATAAATTTGGTGACCAATTCAAATTCACATTCATTTCTCGGTACAGAGGTTTTCCCCTCTCAAAATCACCGATCTTACATGGAAAAGCTTAGGAATGAGTAATTGTTTACCATTCATTCGTGATGGACAGCATTGCGAGGTGAGTTTCACAGTCATCATTAGGTAAGCAAGAGGAAAGCACAGATGGTGGAATCAGTGCGAGCCTCTGCGAAGCAGAGGTGACGCACTGGTAACTTATAATAACGGGCTAAGGGTTGTTTGCGTGTTTTTGTGTGTGTGTGTGTGTGTGTGTGTGTGTGTGTGTGTGTGTGTGTCTGAATATCTGTCTGTCACGAAATTCATAGCGCGAGTTCCAGCCAACGTCCTGAGCCCAAATTTTGCATAGCGCATGCTACCAGCATAAAAGTCCACCATGCGAAAGCACAAGCGGATTTGTTGGGTGGATCCCTCAAAAATTGCGCGTCAGCCGGGTCCAATTGGCTTTTGGCCCGCATAATCGGATCCGTATCACCATTTTTTGCAAAGTTGTGGATGTGCTTGGCATCTCAATGTGCAAGCCAAGGGCTTTGGTCCAAAAGAAAAGATCAAAAGTCTACTACTTTACAAAAACGACGCCGAAAAAGTATTGATTTCTCGATAGTCGATTTGCCAAGGTTTTACTTAAGCATTTGAGAAGATTTTTGCACAGAGATGTGGCTCAGGGTGTTATTGTCCTTATAGCAACTACCTAGCCAGAAAAAAGTTCAAGAACCTATTTTAAATTTGCATTTGTTCTTCTGCGAAAAATTTCATCCTCTCAAAATTACCGTTCTCACATGAAAAGCTTTTGGAATGAGTAGTTGTTTATAATTTATTCGTGATATTCGGCATCGTCCGGTGAGTTTCAATGCCATCTTAAGGCATGAGTGAGTAAGGTGTACAGAGTAGGACCACAGCGATCCTCTCCGAATCAGTGTAATTCGTAGCGCAAGCTGCAGCCAAGATTTCGAGCTGATTTTTTGGCTATAGCATGCCAGCAGCACCCAAGTTGATTATGTAAAGAAGTGAGCGAATCTGTTTCGGTAGGACCTCGCGAGTCAAACAAATCCACCAGGCATTTGCTAAGGCAAACGAGATCCTAATGCAAGAAGTCTGCAGTAACTGTAAAACTTTCAACTTGGACATCTTCTAAGCCCTGGAATTCAGCGCAGATACATAGCAAAAAGTTAGTTTCGTGCAAAAGTGGCGTCAAAAAGAGATGACTCATTTGATTGTTGATTTTCAAAGAACTCACTGTATAGCTGGAAATATTCTAGGTTGGAAATGTAGTGTGCATCTGTTGTTGTTCTAATTAGCCAACATCGCATTAATAAAAAGGATTCAAAATTACACTAACCGTTCACCAAAAAGTATCGCCACGCTAATTTTACCGGTTTCACATGAAAACCTCGCAGAATGAATGGTTGTTTACATCATATTCTTCACGATCAGAATTTTCCGGGGAAGTTCAAAGCAATTTGAGAACGAGGCAGGGCGCTGTTTAGCTCTGAGGACAAGCATGGACACGCAGACCCGCGCACGACACGATATTCACGGGGTGCATAGAGCCAGTACTGTGGCGTGCCACACTTTGCCTTCCTTGAGAAGATGTGCTCAAAAACTATAGAGTAGGACCAGTGCGAGCCTCTGCGAAGCAGAGGTGACGCACTGGTATATATATATATATATATATATATATATATATATACACACACACACACACACACCACACACACACACACACACACACACACACACACACACACACACACACACACACACACACACACACACACACACACACACACACACACACACACACACACACACACACACACACACACACACACACACACACACACACACACACACACACACACACACACACACACACACACACACACACACACACACACACACACACACACACACACACGCGTAAACAACCCTTAGCCCGTTATTATAAGTTATGATACACGGTTTTTATGGCAATATGAGCACCTGTTGAATCAATTGATCGATTGTAACAAACTGGTTTTTTCAAAGCCATAGCTATTTTGAAAGCGATCAAAGACCTTGACTGGATGCTCGGTGCTGGTTTTACCAAGCCTGACAAAATTATGATCTTTTTCATGTGTTGTCTTAAGGGAATTTTGCCTCTTATAATCCCTAACTCTTGTTATTTGGCGAACATCTCTATTTACATAGTTGACCAGTCCTTCATTTCCGTCTGCAATACTCCTTTCTCAAAGCCTAAGTTACCGTGAATCCCACAATAGAACTCCTGCCCCATAAGTTTGCGGTCATTATAATTACGGCAAAATAGCTCACAAGGTTCAAAACAGACTTAAACTTTCGAAAAACCCGAAGTAAGCAAGAATTTTTTAAATCGAGGATTTGACAAGCTACTGCTTCAAGCTGGAAGATCTATGGGGTTAAGACCAAATCCAAAATCTACCAGCTTGCCTTAGCTTTGTTATTACTTTTGCTATTCAGACACAATCAGTGATCTAAAAAATGTTGTACATTTTTTATTTCTTTATTTATTTTGTGTTGTACATGAATATGTGAAATGTTTATGCGCAAACAAGTTAGAATTTTCGTAAAAATTCTCTGAAATTCTGACTGACGCTGTTCCAAACCAATTTCAAGCATAATTCAATACATGTAGACTTCGGAAAAATGTGACACTCTACAATACGGCTTCATTTCTTTACAGTTCTTTGATCCTTTACTTACTCAATTGCTCCATCAATTCATGTCCTCTCTTTTCTCCCATGAGCGATACTAATAAACATCATAATCTGCCTTTTATTCGACCGAATGGTTTGTGTGAAACACCATTTCAACAGACATGGGTACAGCAGGAGACATTCATCTCTGAACCTGACACAAATGTATTCATCGATGTTCAACTGCAACACCTGCTAGACAGAAATATTTTTCCAAAAAGTTTTTTCTGCGTACAGTAGCTATACAAATACATAATGTTTGTATAAGGTCTTTATATTTGTACATCAGTGCACTTATCCCAACTAATATACAAGGCCGTAAAAATTCCATCTGCGTGGATTACGCCCCGTGATCCACTGTCAAGTATGCATCAACAGTCCATCGCTTTTCTAATTCTCTTTTTGGCTGCACCTTTCCCAAACTCTCCCAGAACCGCGTGAGTAAAACGATATTTTTCAGAGTAATTTGAGTACATTAAATTCGCAAATTTCCAGGGCTGCAGGCACTTTGCGTTTCCACAAACACTACCATCCAAGCGAAAGTTACCCGCTTGGTCAAAACACTGGTTTTGTCGATAGTGATAATAATGCAAGTCTTCACCCTTTCAGTAAGATTCTGGGCTTGATGAGTCGTTAACATCTACGTAAATTTCTGCATAATTCTGTACAGTGTAAGTATAAAACATAATGAAGAGGGTATTGTGTTTGACAGTTTCATACCCGTATAAACAGTTGATAATTTTGAACAGTTTCTGCTTTGGGTAAACAATAAAGATTTTTGTCAACTACAGCAGATGATGTTGCAGTCTTGAACATAGAGCCTACTCTTTTACTTTCACCATTTCAGCTTTTCGGCATCTAGCTTTTTTTTAGATTACTGAGCTTATGAGTGCTTATTGGAACAAAAAATTGAACGTGCATGTAGGACAAAAATAGCCGTAATACTTTTTCTAGCTCTTCAATGGAGCAGTGATAATCATCAGAGCACTTTATATGAAGAATACTCTAAAATAAAAAGTATATCTCAATTTTTGGCCCCAAAAGACGCTCATAACTCCTCGTCCATGAACGTACTGCAGGTAAGGAAGGCAGGTTTGGGACCAACGTTTCATGCCCTTCAAGGTGGTATACATCTTAATCAAAAATGCCACTTCGACTGGACAAGTTCTACTGTGGGTTGACTCGTCGTTCATTGAAATCTGCATTATTTCGACACCTTATATGTCTTTATAAGAGACATGCTTAGCACTGTTGTAGAAAAGTAAACTGTCTTTTTATGAACTTATCGGGAATCACAGAAAAAACCTGGAGCTATACAGCGATCGCTCCTGTTCAAAAAGTTTATAGCAGAGGGTAGTAGCAGTACTCAAAAATTAGCATAGAGAGATAAATTAGATAGCTATGAAGTTTTGTCTTATGCTGCGTCTTCCTTCATACATGCGGTCCCGAACTAAGTTAACTTCCAAGTTCTTTGTGAATAAAGTACCGTCTGCCCCCATGCTTTGACAAACTTAGCTGTCAGAGGCCGTACGGTCAGATGCCGTGTTTAAGCTCAACGTAAGTTGTAAGTTACATTTACAATAGTAGTGTGCACATGCGCAACAAAAAATTGTGAGTTGCTCGTGTAACATTCTCGGGACGCATAAGTTGACGTATGCATGCGATCCACATTCACCGCAAAATTGCACAGATCTTCCCTATGGAATGCTTTTGAATATCTCTATAGTAGTAAGTGAAACATTCTAAATGCCACCGAGTTCATTACGATGATGAGCCTGATGGGAGCTTACAACGTATAAGACTAGTAGTATAGTGGTGAGTATCCGCGTCTGTCACATGCGCGAACCGGGTTCAATTCCCTGCCGGGAAGAATGTTTTGCGCTCTACACACGAGTTTCTTATGCTATTATCAGCACCACATCTCTCTCTCTCTCTCTCTCTTTCTCTCTCTCTCGTGCGCGATTTTGCAACACACGATTCGAAATAGGGCTCCGTAGAAGTTCGCTTCAAAAAGTCTCGGCCTTTTCACGAATATTCTGAGATGCTTCGCAAGTAAATGAGATTTAGCGCGAACTAATGAGGCAGAAGATCTTCTATGGGTTCCACAGTAATACAGGCTTAGAGGAAAACATGAGCAGCCCATGAGCAGGAATCTTGCACCTCTCGCAATTTTTCTGTTAAATGGATATCGCAGACGCAGTTGAAGGACTGCTCAACCATATAAGTGGGGATGTTCGCCAAAAAACGAGCGTTAGGCTGTTATTCGAAACAAGTAAAACGCCACGACAAAACATCAAGCTTGAACTAATGAATCACGAGCTTAGGAAAAACGTCACACGCACTCCCCAAAGATCTTTTTTTTTTCAAGAATAACTTTGGCTCTAAAAAAAACTAGTTTATTACAACTGATCATTTGATTCGACAAAGACTCACATCAATTGCCATAAACTTACCCGTGTTTTTACTGCAAGCACTAGTTATTCCCAGCCAAAAATGTATCCATTCATTCCGATTTTAATCCTTATGATCTTATCTCTTACATCAAGCTCGCCTGTGGGTCAGACAGAGTTGCGGTATGTATAACCAAGTAATTTCTGCATACGTGAACGGCAATCAAATTCTCAATTTGAAGAACAAAACGCGATTCTCACTCCCATGAGCTCGAGCTCTTCGGACATGGCAGGGAACTCTTTCCGACTGAACATTACGGACATTACGGTTACAATGAGGAGCCAGGACTTGAAGGTTTACATGGAGTTCGAAACATTCTCGGAGCAATAATTGGTTAAATATCGATATATTTCTTTTTGTGTCATTCAATAAATATCTGTTTATAAGGGTGTACTTGACTTTGTCTGGCTACTGCTTCTTTTGTGCATCATTTGTCCTTTCTTGAGAAAACCATGAGTTTTCGCAATTGAAATTGAATCAAGGGAATATCTCCTGAAAGGAAAACCGAAAGTTTTGTGGCTTTGATTGAAAGGAAAATTTTTTGCTGATGAAATATTCAATTTCAATTAGCCATCTTGTGTAAATTGAAATTGTTTGAAATCTCAAAATTCTCAGGGAGTCTATCTCAGGGTATACCTAAAGTGAATTGCTGTACACGTTTCAGGTTACTCTAGTCATCATATTTCTGATTACAACCTAGTATAGAGTACAAGAGTTGCCTGCCTCTATTTGAGGGCCTTCCACCACATGGTTACATAAACAGAAATAATTTATTTCTACACTATCATTTCTTTCTTTTCTTTCAACTATTTGTTGTACGAAACAGGTTTTTCGTCGATGACAAACTCCAAAAGTTGGCGATCGACCAGTGTAACTGATTGTGTGTTTGAATCAATTAAGCCCTGCAACTCTCACAATATATGTACTATAAGCGAAAACGCGCAATTTTCTTATTATTGATTTCATCAATTTCATGGCAACATGTGGGAGCAGGAAGTATTGTGTGAGTTCTAGCCGAAGCAGATTCTGCAATATGTGAATTTCTCATTCTAGGCATTTGCGAGAGAAACGAGAGAACTATGGTCCCTTCGAGGGGGGTCCTGGATACGGTCGTGCCATCTTTTCTACTTCCACCGCTAGTCAAGGCAACATATGGGGTACTGGTATCGGAACGAGTGTTCATCTTCGACTTGGTGGATACAATAATGGATTTTTGCTCAATAATAATGTTATGGCTGTTTTTGACACACCCTTTGTTTCCTGTTTTCTAGGTGCCTTGTTGATTTTTGGGTAAAATGTTGATTCGCTCTTAGATAAAGGTAAATTTTTGAACTCTTTTTCAGTCTGCAAAATTTTCTTTCAGCACGCATTTTCGAAAATATATTGGTAGCAGATTTCGATAAATTATAGGCGCTTCACATCCGGCAAGCTTATTCTACTTCTAACTTATGTCGAGCCTTTTGCCTTATACTTTGATTTTGCAGAACTTCAGTATCAAAAAGAAATCAAAGTTTATTGATCACTATTAATTCCATTACAGGGGGTTTATTCCCAAAGCCCTCTGAAAAGGATTTACTGGTCTCACGCTTCCATAGCCACCGTAACGACCTGGAGGTAGTCTACGACCTCCCGTCGAGAATGGATTCGGCATATTGGCTATCTGTCTCTTAGCTCGATCCTGCCTAAAACATATAGTGAAGGTTATGATGGGTAAGGCTGGGTAAACTAACCTATCGATAGTCGAGCATTCTGCCAAGTAGAGGACAGAAATACACAAAAGAAGGCAGAGAAGAAATCTCATGGTTGTGCAATGTGCCATTTCTTCGCAAATATGGGGCATTTTATAGCAATCGGCAATTTCCACGTTTGCCGAAAAGTTATACAATTCAAAAGAGACATTTCCGAGAAGGGGTTGGTAAACTTGGAAAACTTGATCTGAATTTTGTTGTACGACCGTCCAAATGCGCACAAGAGTCGGAAATAATGGGGCACTAAGAGGGTTCTTGATTTTGTGGTTGTTGGGGATCAAAAAGGCCAATGTGCAGGTATAGTGGCCTTTTTTTTTTATATTCGTCTGCCAAAAGTGAACAAACAACTCGCCAGTGCAAATGGAGTGTTTTACAGAATCACCATCTGCAAGGAACATCTGTCCTCCAAAAAAATAGCAGGGAAGTTGGATTGAAAGAGATTTGATCACCTCAAAAAATGCTTATATGATCTATTAATGTAAATAAAGCACATAGCTACTAAATAAATTCCTGATAGCCTGTAAATGGTCCCATATCTTCCCCTAAATGCCCGCTGGGTATCCCCGCAGCAATCGCGATTAGATTGATCGCCATCGTCTATTATCGGCTCTTGTGTTGTCGCAATCGACATAGTCATATGATGTCGTTATCTTGCCTATACTTTACGCTAACCATGTTGTGAGTAGCTTGTTGTCTATTTATGGTAATGATAAATATTAATTTTTCAATGATCCCTTAATTTTTTTAACGGCCTCTTTCAACCAAAAATATGCTCAAGAATGCCCGTTTCCGAGATTCGATACTGTAAGAAAGTTGGAACGAATTTTAATTGATTACCTTGAGCTAACCGATGAGGATGGCGGCCATTTTTAGAACTTTCCAGCTTGTTTTTTACTTCTATTGCTAGTATTATTCTGCTACTATTCGTCATTCCAGTGCAAAACTTTCTGATCGCATTGACAACATTGTTTCTTCTCTCTTCTGTTGTGGATCTTTTTATCCATCATACACTGAAAATTCTAAATTATAACTCTGGAAAAATTTATTTCCGCTCATAACCGAGTTTTCGCAGCGTAGGTGGAAATTTCAATGGCGTACCCTTCCCTCTCCCCCCTCCCCCTTCGATTGGTCGCGAAGTTTTCTGAAAGTTTTCCAAATGAGTTATGAAATTTCGGAGATGTCTTGTTTTTGCTTGTAAATGGTTGTAATAACTTTTAATAATTTTACAAATTTGATTTAGCCTTGTTAAAATTTTTTCGCGGTAGGGAACGTAGCTCGCCATTCCTCCCTTATCTAGGCATAATTATTAGAGATGAAAGGATGCAAAATTTTGAAGCATTTTGAAAATTTTGGGGTGGGCAGAAAAGATTTTGTTGTTCCCTCCTACCCCCTCCTCTTACCCCTTCCACCAGAAAAAATTTCTCGGACAGCCAATACTTATCTGAAGTCTGCTGGTGATTTGTATATTTTTTTATGTCCACGGGTCCCTTTTTCTCTTACGCATGATTCGCATGAAGTGATTTTGTTTATTCCGTTTTTCTATGACCAACATTTTTTCACCTTTTACTTTTCTCTCTTTTACAGTAGCTGAATTATGCCTCCAGAATAATTTTGACTCCTTTGACATATTTTTACTAAAAAGACCGAGACAAATGTTTATTGTGATACAATCACCAGTACGGTCTTACTCCCCAACCCGTATTCATTGGTCCTCGATAATGACGACGAGGAGGAGGTCTACGTACTCCGAATGGATTTATCATATTAGCGAATCCAAGCTGTCTCTTGACTCGATCCTGCCTAAAATATCCTAATGAACGTGCCTTACCATTGAGTTAGGTAAACTAACCCATCGATAATAGAGCATTCTGCCAAGTAGAAGACAGAAATACACAAGAGAAGGCAGAAAAGGAATTTCATGGCGATGTGCGATGTGCCATGCGATTCACCTCAGGAGCATTTTATAGCAGTCGGCAATTTCCGTGTTCGCCGAAAAGTTGTACAATTTGAAAGGAATTGTTTTCAAAAAGGTGTGGAAAACATGGAAAACTTGATCAGAATTTCCTTGTGCGATCGTCCAAATGTGCACAAGAGCTGGACGTAATGGGTTCTGCCCAATGAGGCAATTAGAACGTCCTCAACTTTGTGGCTCTCGAGGAATAAAAAAGTTCAATACATAGGGTTTAATGGCCTTTTTCTTAGCTCGTTTGCCAAAAGTGAACAACAAATTCGCAGTGCAAATGGAGAGTTTTGCGAACACCAATTGCAAGGAATAACATCTAACCTCCATAATAAAGCGGTGAAGACGGATTGAAAGCGATTTGATTACCCTAAATAGCTAATCATTCGTTTTGTCAGTGAAAATAAAGCATGTAACCACTGAATAAATTACTGATAGCCTGGAAATGTTCCCGTACCTTGCCAAATGCCCACTGGATACTCCCGCAGTAATGGCGATCTGATTGATCGCTATCGTTTCCTATTAATTATCGCATGCTTGTTGTGACGGTCACCGCCATATGATATCGCTATCTTTACCTATACTTTACGCTAACAATGCTACCACTTGTTGACTAATTCTTTGAAAAATATCAATTGTAATTATATGTGTAAAAACTTCATGCTTATGGCCTCTTCCCAAGCAAAAGCTATAAGGGTGACTTCCTAATTTCTTAACTTCGTTACTGGAATTTTTTTGCGCCATTGTTCTGGTTCAATCATCCTGTACATAACCATTGGAGATGACTGTTTATCTGTACAAATGAAGGCGTAGGTCAGCATTATTTTCTACTTTGTTTGTTATTATATCGCATTATTTTTGACACGGGTCTCTATAGCCTACAGATTGTTTTGCATACTCATAAATGCTCGTCATGATAAAGACTTAGCACCCTTCATTTCTTTGTGGCCAACATTCTTTCCAGTTTTTTGTTTTAGTCCCTTGTACTATTGAAGAATCAACTTCTGAACTTTCGCTCCAAGATCACATGATCATGCAAGATCCATTACACTTCCTAAATTCATCAAGTCCCACTCTTGTTTGGCTATGTTCCCATTGAACTTCTATGATAATGTTCTCTTGAAGCTCTACGAAAAGCTCTACAAAACCTTTGGTTGAGGCAAATCCTCGATAGTCCCTATAAGCTTTTGCCCTTTCCCCTTAAAGTAGTTTCCGTTTCCCTTAACAGCTGTGAATTGTCTTTTAAAAAATTTTTGAAGTGCTTTTTCAGAACTATGAAACGCTGCACATCAGTCGCGGCTTCGGCTGCCGCTATACCTACATCTTGCCCTGGAGCTAAGGTTTCTGCCACTTCAACCTCTGCTACCCGATCATTCGAGGAGATACCCGGCCCAAGCACTTTTTCGAGCATTTTTGGCAAAAATCGATCATTTTTCAGAAGTAGGTGGCAAACAAAAGGGCTCAAAGAACAACATACGGGTGTGATTCAGGTAAACAATCAATCGCACGCTATTACGATTGGCTGGTCGACTTGCACAAACAATATGGACCAATTGTCAAAGTGAATCAGGGATTTGGAAGAGGTTATGTAGTCCATGTGTTTGATCCAGGTGAATCATTGACTACATTTTTTAACCTTAACCGCAATCGCAGGTAATATCCCGGAAGTCTGCCAAAATTCACGCTTTCGTATACACACGGATTTTTGCTCAGATCAGTGCTACATTCATTCACTACTATGTACAGGCTTATCTCAACTACAGTGTCGGATCCCGCGCGGCCACCTCGCTTAAGATTTAAACCGCGTTCGCGAGCGTGTTCTATAGCCATTTCCCAGGCCTAATTAGCGATTGAAGCTAAACTCTAAGCCTTTTCCAACGCTCAGGCATGCGAAAATCACCAGAGGAGGACACGCTAGCAAATGTGGTGCGTGGTCCAAACGAGGCGGCCGCGCGGGACCAAAGCAGCGATGCACCAGACACTGCAAGTGAGATAGCCTGTACCTTGCAATCTACAAATGAATAGTCAAAAATTCTCCCGAATCTTGCGTTATCAAACAATTAGCGTAAAAAAAACAGTGAAATATGAAAATAGGTTTTTGTCATTTTCAGAGGATGCCCGTCATGTATTTGCTTCTGATGGCCGGCAACCATTCATAGTCCCGCTGCAAGAAACAACTCAAAGATATCGCGAAATGAAGGGAATGAATCCAGGATTAGGGAACTTGTTAGTTTGCTTAGCAGACTCTATTTTTCTGCTCGTCAAAATTCTAGATTTGCAGAAATGGTGACGAATGGTACCGATTACGATCTTCTATTCAGCAAGTGATGATGAGACCACAAGCTGTACAAAAGTGAGAATACTCACAAAAATCGATTGTTACATTAAGGCAACCGTATCAGGTATTTACCGTATACTAACGAAGTGGCTGCTGCTTTGATGGATCACATCAAAAAGGAGATGCAGAACGGAGATGGTGAGGTGGATATGAGAAAAGTTGCTGGGAGGTACAGTCTTCATGAAAAAATCATTTTCTTAAAATTTATCGCTCTCTTGCAGATGGGCACTTGAATCAGCGGCACTGACAGTTTTTGAAAAACGTCTTGGAGCCCTTGGAAATCGTACCGAATGGGCCGATATGCTTGTGAATCTCAATAAGGCAATATTTCAGCTATCCGCACAGTAAGTCACTTTGCAGAGACGCAGAGTAGAACTCTGCGTCTTTGTGCTCTGATCCTTTTTGCCCCAAAATTTGCTTCCAAGCAAGGCTTAAAGCGTTGTTTTTATGATTTTTTAAAAACTTCTTGGCCTTCACATTTTACCAAATCTCCTTCGAACTTCGTAGACTTCGAAAGTGCAAAATAAGTATGTTAGAAAAGAGATAGGCATAAATCTTCATCAAATTCGTGCGCTGTGGGCGTGTCGCGTACAACTCACTAATGGCCATAATGCAGCGAATGTTTTTGGAAGTTTAGCGAACAATTTTTAAGGAGCAATTTTTCTAGGCTCAAATTTGCTCTCCCCCTCTACAAATATTTCACAACACCAAAATGGAAAAGGATGGTGGAATTGGAGGATCAGTTCTACAAGTAAAACAATCTTGGTAGTTTCGAAATTTTATTCCGCAATAAAAAAATTTTCTAGAGAAGCCAATGCATTAATTGACGAAGCCATTCATAAACTTCGTGGAAGTGCAGAGCGAGAGGAAGAAATGAAGTTTGCAAGTCTGCTGATTAACCGGAAAGAGCTCAACGACAAAGATGTTGCAGTTATTCTTCTGTCAATGTTTTCTGATGGTTTGAGTACGGTATGTGCAAATTTTTGACGATATTTTCTTTTTGGGATATACAAAATTATTTTTAGACCGCTCCTATGCTGATCTACAATCTCTTCAATATCGCTTCTAATCTAGATGTACAGTATGAACTTAGACAAGAAGTCAATAAAGCTGTTGGTCGTACTAAAGGTAAGTAAAAAATTCAGCGAGTAGATTTAAAAGCACCAAGTTTCATTTTTTCGTAATACGGGTGTTTTATGGGCGCTATTTGAAAAAAAAACGCAAAAATCCTTAAAATTTTTTACGTCTTTAGAGCTTCATTACCTTCTCTATCTTACCCGTTCAGAAATTACACCCACCGTACTCTCCCAGCTACCGTACCTTCGCGCCTGCATCAAAGAAACATTTCGACTTTTCCCAATCGGGACGGAAATCTCTCGAGTTCCTCAGAAAGATTTGGTCCTCAGTGGATTTCGGGTCCCGGCTCGGACGCCTATTGATATAAATACGAATGTCCTTATGAAGTGAGTTCATTACGCTCTGTTTGAAGGTTCATAGTCCTAGTTTCTTTTAAATTTGAGTCAAAATAAATCTCGCGAAAATAATCAAATTACAGATACTATTTATTTAGATGCAAAATCTTGTAATATTTAGGTCTTCGTCGCTTTTCGAAGATCCTCTCTCGTTTCAACCAAATAGATGGCTTCGAGATGGGAGTGCTCGTCATGATTTCCATCCATTCTCTTTCCTTCCATTTGGTTTTGGGCCAAGAATGTGCGCGGGTACGTTATTTACAAAACCGGAGAAACTCAATAAAAACGGATTCTTACAGGAAGACGTTTCGCTGAGCAAGACTTACTTGTATCTCTATGCCGACTCGTTCAAAACTTCAAAATCTCACATAAGCATTCACCTATAGGGCAAATTTATGAAACGTTGTTGCTACCAAAGGGCTGCTGTGATTTTCATTTTGAGAAGTTGTAACATATTTTATGTCAAACTCTATCAAAATTACCTCTACCTCATTTTATCCTCGTTCATGAAGCAAATAAAGTCATACTTTTTTTTCGCTGCCAGATTCATGTGTTTACCTCGCATTATTGCACTTCAAAAAATAAAGCTCATTTTCTGCTCGGTTCTGACACTCTGAGGGTGTAGTTAGCAAAGTATAGTGGCTACAAAATTCCGGATTGGATAAAAACTGCAGATGGATTTTTAGGTTTTGTGAGAGATTAAGAGTTCCATTATCTAAATGCTGAATATGTAATGCACTGTTTTGTGACGGTTTATATGTATCACACTTGCTTTGTTTAAAAAATACTTTATTTTTGTACAAAATGTATATACATCAAATTATGGAGTAATTTGTACACGAGATAGAGATCGCCATTATCCGAAACCGCCAAGGAATCCATTGTTGTATCCGCCTGAAAGAAAATTTCATTATTTTTCAAAGCCACTCAAAAAGTCTTTGCTCAATGCACCTAAGCTCAAGGTACTGCTCAATCCGAATCCAGAGCCAAATCCGGAGCCGAACCCACCACCAGGAAATCCTCCGAATCCGCCACCGGGATAGCCACCGAAGCCACCAAAGCGTCCAAAGCCACCACCGGGATAGCCGCCGAAGCCTCCAAAGCCTGGATAGCCTCCTCCAAAGCCGCCAAAACCTCCACCGGGATAGCCGCCAAAGCCACCTCCGGGGTAACCGCCGAAGCCTCCAAATCTTCCAAAACCGAAGTGTCGCTTCACTCGTTGTGATCTGGATTGAGAGTTGTTAGACATTATATACATCAAAATGTATGAGCGCCTACCTGGCATCGCTATTTTCCACCACAGTTCCTGTTTCTTGAACCTCTTTCGCTTGAGGAGCAGGTAAAGCATCGGAGAAAAGAAGAGAGGCACATGCAAGGCTGAGGAGTAGTAATCGAGTCATGATTGTGGCGGTACGTTTGTTTTTTTCATCTTGACTTTATAGTGATAGGCTCCTTAGGAGTTTGTCAAATGTAAAAAACACTAGAAGCTGCTCTTCGCCCAACTCTAGCCACATTTTGCCGCAGATGTGATTTTGGCAAACTGCAGAACCGGTTGAGTGACGCTTCAGCACCGACGAGACAGTGTCACCCGCCGAACAATGCCGGAAGGAAGGAAAACAATTCTGATTCAGGCTGTTATGGTACAAGTGCAAGGCCGTTTATGTTTTATCTATGTGGGACGACGCTTCAGAAAACTCCACTTATGAGCTCAGTTTAGCAGCTTGATCTTTCTATGAAAAAAGCTATAGAGCATTCATATTCCGTTATCCTTTTTTCACTACACTTAGAATCCTTGCTATTTTGCAAGGTCTCCATTTTCACACTGAGGCCATTATTATCTCGAGTTTACTGCACTAATCCGTCTTACCTGTCGACTTCTTGGCCTTTCTCTCTTTCTCTGTATGCACAATAATCCTGTTGCTGTTGAAAGCGGAGCAAGAAAGGCTCCATATGTTCAAATGCTTCCAAGATCTTAATTCCCCACTTGTATCCAATAACATTATCATCATCTAATATAGAGAAAGGGAGGGCATTGCTTTACAAATTCTGATTATCAGCGTTTCTCATAGTTTCCTGATTGATTTCATACCTTTGCCATTGCCCTCACGTGCGCTTCTTCCTGTCAAGTCCCTTTTTCCTTACTAGTTACCGATTCAATTGCATCTAAGAGAAGCTGGGCTTGAATCCTTGTAAAAACCGGTCTACTTACTCGACGGCTCAAAACAAACAAGATCTGCTAACGTGGGAGCTTATACTTTTTTGAGCATAAATGACAATACCATGGAAGAAATCAATCAAAACGCACAGGCATTACAATAAGGGGACGGCGCTGTATATAGCCCTGTGCCTGGCAATGTTTCAAGCAAAGAAAGCTTGCAGAGACAAGACGATTGCATCAATGCGCATGATGACTGCCGAATACAGTGGCAGTAATGACTGTGGCCGCTTGGTGGGATCAGCACCTTCCGCTATTTCCTAGCCACGGCTACATCGTACATCCCTATTGTTCCCTAATGATGTTGTGCGTCCGGTCAAGGTTCGTAAGGCCTTAGCGGCCGCTGCGGACTGCCTTTACCCGAACACAACGATATAGAGCAGCTACACGCCTAGTGAAAAAAGGAGCCGACTGAATAAATACATTTATTCTACTATGACAAAGACTAGCAAAAAATAAACAAAATACGGGGTAATCGCTCTGCCCATGTTACCGATGGCCCCAAATATCCTTATCTCCAATTATGAACTTCGCGAGGCTTCACTTACAGGTCCGCCGTCAACCGCCAGGACCCTGAGGCAACGGTGAACCGCTCTCCGCTCGCGGTAGTTCTAATTCACCATTCCAGGAGGTCGAATCGCTACCACGCATCAGATTGCTTAAACTATCCAGATTTCTCTGTGCAAACGCTTCAATCGCTTGATTAAAAGATACATCCAATGCGGGAGCTCAAGGCACGGTGATGTAACATCGAAATCGTACGCACAAGTAATCAATCACGATGAATTAAGCAGGTGACCAAATGAGGCAATGCGTCTTATACCGCCATTTTGTCGGCAACGCGGCAGCAGAGAGAGGTCCAGAGAAGTTTGCGGCAATCCGCAGCCTACTGCCGTAACCGTCGCCCGATAACGGACAGAAACCGGTGCTCCCGGCGTCCATATTTTGAGGAGCGCGCTCCTTGCCTCCGGACTGCAAGGAGCGACAAGCAGGAGAAAACTTCGTAGAGTGCATACATGACTTCAGCCAGTGTGATCCACATTTACCAGGCACAAGGCAAGAAGTCAGGGAATTGACGGGACATATTCTAATTATAAGAACAAGATTTCTCAACAATCAGAGCTATCAAATGCTTTGAAAACGTAGATTCAAAGGGATGGCACGAAAACAACGTTGGGCTGTAAGCGCTGTTGTTTCTATCGGATTTGCGGTCTGTGTTTTAGCTAAGTCGCTGTGAGCATTATTACTGCTACCTGATCAGGTACTGCTCCCTACTAATAAACTTGAATTCTCATGGCATCGTGTCGTCGTAGAAATAATATTCATGCTTCGTCATATGGTGTAACAGCGAATAGATTACCATTCAGTAGAGCAGCGCAAGCTCTACAAGATGGACATCAGCATGAGCAGTGATCCATGCAAAGCTCAAGATGGAACCCATAACTATTCAAAATCGGATCTTGTGTGCTCTCGTTTATTGACATAGTAACATTCATGAACGTATTGCTGATTTTGTTCCGGAATAGAAATTCTTTTTATAAATCTAAATGTTTGTTTGTCTCTCTGTTATGTGTGTTCAAAGGCTACTGTGGGATGAAGGCGCAAGAGCAGTGTAAGTTAAGAGGGCGCGAACGCGGCACGCTTCACTTATCATTGAAGCCCTGCGCCTCATGCGCTTTGTGACTAATGGAACCGCGTTCGCTAGTCTGAACTTTGCGTCTTCCGGCAATAGCGTAAATGTTCGTAGAAACGTCTGTTTTCAAACCGATCCAGACTCAATTACGCGCGCAAACATTTCGGGGCAGGACGGTGTCGTGGGCTATCCGTTGTCATCGATCGATATCGATTTCATAAATTTTTTTTTACAAAGTCTGAGACTCGACTGAGAGTTGGCACAAGGGTGGGATAAGTGAGCATGCTGATTACGAACACAATATAATTTTTCCATTCTTTTGCAGCTTCATCAATTATATCTTTTTTACAAAGTATGAGATACGGTCGGTTGGCACAGGGATTAGGTGAGCCTGCTGATCACGAACATGGTAAAGGCGGAGTATTAGCATATAGAGGTGGGAATGGGACAGGGGAAGTTTGTACGGAACAAAGTCGTGGTGAAGTTTATTATATTTTATAGGCAGACCCGAGGGAAGCCTAGTAGACTAGTGTATATTAGTATAGTGACATATGGTCAAATATTGAGATGTATGAAAATTTGGCGTATTGAATCTCTTATCCTTCGCGCAGATATGGGAGTATGATTTCTATTGTACTTCCTATGTTTGTAGTAAATATTTACATCTTTGTGAAAGACCACAGTTACGCTTGATTTCAGACTCACTATATTTTTCTTTGAATTCTAGCAGTCAAGAATTGCAGCATGATTGAATGTCTAACGCATTCCAAATAGTTGAGTTTTGATTTTTGTAGGAGCTTTTTGGGCTCAAAATCCCATCAAGTTAAATGTGTTTAGAATTCAGCATCAACTTCATACGGATACAATTCAGCGATTTGGTGAATCTTGTGGAGCTTGATTGGCTCTATCAAGTGGCACATACACTATTGGTGTTCAGCCTGTTGATTCTTGAAATCTTGACGAGAGTTCAATTGCGGTCTTTGCGCACATAGCTTAAAACACCCATACATACACGCATCAACTAAATGCGCTCAATTACTTCCAGCGTCTGAATACTATCATATGTAAGCAGAAAAACCATTCGAGTTGAGATAGAAACCAAGAAATCGAAGTTCGTGCTGTCGCGTGCGGTCGCGCCATCGTCACGATTTTTCGAATGCCCTGTAGCTTGGAAGGCACCAACATTCTCGTGACAACGTGAAAATTATTGTCTTCACGTTTGACACAGTCGCCTAGTCACTTCTACTTCTACAGAAGTCATTTGATAATTGTGTCCAGCTAAAACAAAGAACATCATGTTTTGGAGCAGAAAAGCTGTCAGAACGCGCTGTACGCAATAAATTAACAACGGCAGCTCTGCTCGAAATATTGCCAACGCTTGGTTATCCAGATACACAAAGCTTTAGCAGACAGCAATCTAGATCTTACCAACTGCTAGATTATCTCTCTCTCTTACTGCTGTAAGAATGTTGCAGCTCGATGTGTTTACAACCTTTGCCGCTCAGTCTTGCACTCGATATCAATCCCAAAGATGTTATTAACGTGCCTAAAAAAAGAGCTCTTGCCTGCGCAAACGTGTCGCATTCCCCTATCGCAATTATACTAAGCGCGATTAGAACAGTGAGAATGTAATATTGGCACTGTACAAAAACAAAATACCAAAATAGAAAACATGAACCGCAGCGGCAAGCCGTGATACATTGTTCCACCGATGGCTTGGTCAACAGATTTCCTTGGCTGAATCAAAATATAGCACCATCCCATCCAATAATACTCAGAGTCCCCTACCGAACTTGACGGCAAGAGCATATACATATCAACTCTCCTCAAACGAAAAGCTACAAAGTTGCTCATGGCGCGGCTTCGTAGCCCTCTTGGCAATGCGCCAGCGTAAGAGGTCCAGCCGCGAATAAACGCAACCGACACTGCAACGGCTAGCACTCCCGGCTCGCCGTTTCGAGGAGCTGCTCGCAAGATCCACGTCAGCAGGCAGGAGTTCTAGAATATCTTATCGTATTCTATAGATTGAGTCAAAGCTCCAAATTTTCTTGGCTGACAAATATCGAAGCGTTTTTACCCGTTCCTGCATTTCCATCGTTTCAATGAATTTTAAGTGCATATGTCCAAAAAAGAGTAAAACTACAGTCATGTCACATGATAGCAATTTGCTGATGTAGAGAGAGTCATCGTATTGATTATCAAACACTATCAAAAAGAGGCCAAACACCATGAGGTCATTGTCATGGACTCTTCAGCAATCTAGCGGATCATCAGATGCTTCGCCATCAACACACAGCATAACCAGTTTTTTTTTCTTTTGGGGTAAACACTCGCTCTTGCATTTAAGGAAGACGCAAAGGTCAGGTATCATCTTTGTCTAACAGCACCACAGATTCCTCATTGAAATGTTCGTCAAGATTTTTACATTCCTCCTCCTGCTTGTTGCAGTCTCCTGCGATCTGAGAAGGTATGCTCTGTGCTATTTTCTTTTGAAATTTTTGCACGTTTGCACTTCGAACTTTTGATTTGCACTTTTCTAAAAAAAACGTTATATGATTCTTTTCCAGCCATAGAGCTCTTCGGCATGTGGACTCAGTCGGAAGCAGCAATGTCGCTCCACTTTCCGGTCCTTACCCTAGTATGGCCCAACTTGATGCCAGTCCTGGCAATGCAAATGCTGTAGGAGTTAATACACCTTCAATAGCAGGAGGTACCTCACCCTTAGCCCCGGTGATGCTTGGTTAAACCATCACCCTACCACAAAGCCTTAGATTGATCCTTTAGCAAATGTACATATTAGCTTGTTGTATATACCCAAGAATTCGGCTCAGCTTTTCTTTTTGACTGTGAGATCTCTGATCCACATTGAATTTTCTTGTCTGTTTCCAATTGTCTAATAAAAGTGGGTTGTAGGAAATCTGTGACGCAAGCGATTCTATTATTACCGCACATCAGTTCGCATCGCACTTTCTGAATCAAAAATCATTCCGTAATGGTAGGTAAGTTGCTGACCAACTCTACTTGCGTCAATCAGCACTCACCAGTCGTAGCAAGGCCAAAACACAAACACAAGAACATCAACTCCATTAAACTTTGCAAGGCACCGCCCTAAGCAATGTGGCTGGTGGAGGTTTCACTTCGCAAAAGGCACAAAAATCAGTTGGTTTGCTGGATAGGTGCTTGCAAAAACTTTATATCTCCAGGGAAGATTCTGAAAAATCTCACGAATGTGTAGATATCAAAGCTTTCATTGGTAAAAGCTAATTTGCACAAGACAGCCAAAGTCTCGGTAAAGTCCACTTTTGATCGTGGATGGCCTTAGGTAAAATGTCTCTCGGAATTGCTTTCTTGGTCACAACAAATTGCGCTCAAGTTTCATCGCTTTCACACCTCGTCGGATCCACATTCTGCAGATGACCTTCTTGACGAGGTTATCAATGCCAGGAAGGAGTTACCTACCGTGTCTACGGGTCCATATAAATGCTCATTGGTTCCGGGTGATTGACCGAGTCAGGAAAAAAGTTGAGCACAATCTCATACTACAAGAACTCCCAGAGGTTAAGCAAGTTTTCCAAACTCCCCGAGGGCTTTATTAGTAAAGAGGTGATTGAAGGCGCAAAAATGTGATTTTCCCGAAAACTTTGACGGCGACCCGAGGGTTCCCCTACAGCCCTCTGGAAGTTTCCATGAATTGTCTGAGATTACACCAACAATCAAAAATTTAATTGTTAGATGTTTCAGTTCGTAAAAGAAAGTACGCAAGCACTTTTGGCTAGAAAATTCAAAGAAAGTGGGAAGATTTTTCTGTGACAACAGTGCACCTCCAGACCATTATCTCTTAGACTGAATGTGCATACATTGTGAAATACAAAAGTTAGAAATAAATAATATTTATTGTTGATTGCACAACAGTCATGTATATAAAACGAGGTTTGCTTTTGAAGCATAACGATATCATCCCTGCAGAATTCTATAGATATACTTAATGCTTTTTCACTCGCAAACAAAGCGCTGTGAAGACAACGCTGATCATTAGCGTGAAGATGACACCAGCGACGAGGACGGACATGATGTGAAGGGACATGCAGACACCTTCCGACTCTAGTCTGTACTCGGAAGGTTCGGCGCTCAAAGCAAGGGCTTCTGGTAATCCAGGGACCTGAAAGTGAGGGTTCTAGATCATGAGAAAAAGTGAATGTGATTTTGGGCTTACCTCTCCATCCAGCACTTCGAAGGCGGTCAGCTCAGCTCGTACATCAAGGGTGTTTTCATAGTTTAGAGCGGATCTCTTCTTGAGTACTCGGAAGAACTGGGCTGATTGCACCTTGTTCTGCTGCAGAGCCTGTCTCATAGTTCCGAAGCCCTTGGGTTCAGCGCATTGTGGGCGAACGCATTCGGCCTTGGGTTCCTTGATAGAAATGCTGATCTGGCATTGGTAGAACAACTGACTACGGTCCGCGTATTTGTAAACGTGAGCTTCCTAGAAAAATGGTGATGGTAAAGACTACAAGGTGAAGATCAACTGACCTGTCCAGCCATCAGATCAGTTGGGTATTCAAGATTATTCAGTACGAACTTGTCGAGTGCGCAACCATTGTCATCAAGGATCTATAGTGAAACTATGGACATCTGCCCACGCCTACAGTAACCCTACCATACCTGGATAGTATCGCCATTTCCATCATCAACAGTGCAAGAGTGTACAACAGCGCAGAATGTGTCTTCGGTTTCAGAATCACAAGTCCATTTGTGGTATACCTAGAAATTACATTTCAATTTTAAACCTATCAAAGTGATAATGGAGGGCTTACCGGTTGTCCAATGGTAGCAAATTGGACAGGTTCCCCAGTTGGCCCACCGTTGAGGATTTCGTACTTACAAACTGGCATGGGTACAACCTAGAAATTCGGTGGAAAAGTGTGAGAATGGAGAATTTTTGCAAGCTGGATAATCTTCCCAACAAGTACAACTGCCTTCAAATTTTCATTTTTATGAAGATAAAACAAAGCCTTTGTGCTTACTTGTGTCTGGAAGGCGGTGGTGAGATCAGAGACTTCGATCTGAGTTGACACGGTTTTGTCGGCTTCCATGTAGAAACACTGGATACGGTAAGCTCTGAAATGATTTGGAAAATTTAGTTCCATTTAACCGTAAAATACTCTGAATACGTCCTCACCTATCGACTTTGGTGACGAATTGTGGGTGGAAAGAGACAACTACGGTTGCAGAGACAAAAACTCCTTTAGGATTCAAGGATCGAGTTCGAGCCAAGTTGCAAGTGTCGAACGGCAATTCGATACCGGCTACCTGGACAAGGTTTTCTCGTTTTGCAAATTTGTACTGTTCAAGCAAAAGCTGAAGTTTACAACATACCTGACGTCCTCCTTCATCATTTCTGCACTCGTTGTGATCAAAGAGTCCTTTTACGTAAACATGACCTTCGAAGGCGTTCCTAGAAAGCACCAAATCATTCCAAGATGTTGCAAAATATTTTTTCAGCACTACTCGTATAGAAAATTTTCGAAGCTAACCTCGTATTGAAATTCACAGTGATTGACGAAGGACCGCACTCGATCTCGGGTTCCCCTTCGACGCCATTGTCTACGGGAATCGCGTACGCCATTGCGAGGAGACACAAAAAGTGCGCTAACCGTAGCATCTAGAACAAAGCAGTCAAAAAAGTTTACGCTAAGCTGATAGGAACAAGAAAGTGTGGGGGGAGAGAGAAGGGATTAAAATTGTAGCTCACAACACATTTTTTAGACTATACATAATAGGGTTAGTGAAATGTTAAATGAGATGAGAGTATCTGAAAGAGAAAATTTTGGGCAGAAATTTGAGAGCTTGCGTAGGACAAAACCTTCAAAATATGTATTTTCATCTTCTTTATCAATTCTTTCTAAAAATTGTTTTCATTTCCTTCTATTGTGAATGCCGATGGATGCGTTGAATAAGCACTTCATTCAGCTTTCTTTGCACAAGATTATCGATTTCTATACTGAACCAATGGCAATGTAAGCAATAATAAGTGGTAGTAAACAACTATTGTAAATGGAGATTAGCAAGAAGAGTCCACCTTGAGTTTTCAATGTCCGGAGTGATCGCTTTTATATAGCCGCCGAGACTTCTCGCTTAGCGTAGGCGGTCAGTGACGGCTACCGATCCCGGTTTGTCAAAGCCGAGCGGCTACCTGCTTGGATAAGGGCATACACATGAAAAATAAATAAGATAATGGCGAGTGGCATAAGCTTGTAAATTTCAGCAACTTCAGCTTCACTTCCTGAGACGGAAAAGCTTATGATATTATGTCCTAAAAAGGGAGATCTTTTCGGTCAAAGTGGCCTTTTCACATGAAATTGATACCACTATAAAGAGCAAACGCTGATTCCAAATCTGTCTTCGTTATCTGCCGAGCGCCACTGGACGTCGAGTTATGAGCGTTTTTGAGTTGAGAAATTAAATGCATGATTAGGACAAAATTCATCAGAAATGCTCAAATGGTCCAATGTTGATTATCAAAGCACTTTATCTGAACAATACCTTTTGTCCAAAGCACTCATACTCAACACTGCTCCATTTGAGCGCTGAAAAGACCGTAAAATTTCATTTTACTTAAACTATGCGTTCATTTTTCGCACCAAGAAAATATTCATAACTCGACATGCAGAAGCGCTCGGCAGGTAATGGAACAAGATTTGGGATCAGCGTGTAATGCTCTTCAAAGTGATATTGAACTCATTTGAAAAGGCCACTTCGACTGATCGGGCCTCCCTTGTAAGATACAGAGAAAATCTGTAAGGAGGCATACAACGTTAATGTTTATGGAAATTGGGTTGACATATTCTCAAAAACTAGGAATATCATCTATGGTTTTGTTTTGAGAACAACTGAGCTATGTGCATCCAACTCAAAATTGAAGTTGATCTCAAACGGATGGGAAAGTAGTGATTTTTATAATCATAGCAATACGATTAAGCGTTTAGTTCTTATCTCACATGTATCATATTTGAAAGAGGCCTCAGAAGTCTAACAGTAAGCATTTGTTCTATTAGAAACCGAGAACGATTAACATAAATTGGTAGGAACGTGTTGTTTGATGACCTTGTTCGAGCAAAGCATATGAAAGCTTATTTATATCTCAGAAAGTCTCTTTAGGTAAAGAAAGCCACGCAGATTTGAAAAAAAAAGTGGACAGATAATGGATACTATAAATTCGGAATCCAACAGCTCAGAGATAAAATGCGGTAAATCAAATGAAGTAAAAGTTTAACTTAGCACGGTGCTAAAAAAATTACCCGTGCACACTATTTAAGGAAGTCGGATCGTTGGAAGGCTTCTGATACATTCCATATTCTCTCATGTTTTCAGTGAAACTTATTTTCTGTTTCTACAAATTAAAAAGAACTCGGTTTCACGAGATGCAAGTATGTCAGTCAGTACATCGAATATATCAACGATTTGGCAGGGTACGTTAAGTCTACGGTGAGAGAGGCAAACGCTTAGACCTTTAGAGAATACAAGAGTTGGTCCGTTTGGTGAAAGCAAATACAAGCTGACAGAAATGTAATTTATACACGCTTGATAACGATAACTACCAGAAATTAGGTGTGATTGCTGCATCAACATGCTATTTACATTTTTACCAGATTTTTACTTCTAATATTAGGTTGGCACGAAAGTTCTTGCGTAATTCAAACAAAATTCAATAACTTTTCAAAGACTAAACCTAAATTCACAATCTTGTATGCCGAAAATATTAGAAGTCTCACGCTCCATGATCGAAGTTCAAACACAACATTGTCTATAGTGGGGCTTCAAAATTTGCGATTTTGAGTTTAGTGGCAGAAAATCGCAGAGGGCCGCTAGCTGGCCGAAAAAAATCTGTAGAATTTACTTACACAGCAAAAGTCCATACGTTATTTTAGCAAGCTTTGAAGTAACATATGGACTTTTGTTGTGTAAGTAAATTCTACAGATTTTTTTTCAGCTAGCTAGCGGCACTCTGCGATTTTCTGGCACCAAACTCAAAATAGCAAAATTTGAAGCCCCATATTCGAGAGCTTCGTTCTTGATGTCCAGCTTACGGAATCTTATGCTCAAACATCCGTCATGAAGCGTAAGGCTTCTAATATTTTTAGCATACAAGACTGTGAATTTTGGTTTAGTCTTTGGAAAGTTATTGAATTTTGTTTGAATTACGCAAGAACTTTCGTGCCAACCTAATATTTCTTCAGAGTTCCTATTTTACGGCCAAATCAAAAATAGTTGCACTAATTCAATACGGAGACGTTTTCTCTTTTTTTGGTTTTGATCTACGGTATATGTACAAACAAAAAGCCTTCGATGTTACTCCCAACCGAATGGATGCTGCATTTGCGAAATTCGAGAAAAACTGCATTTTCTACAGGTCTTTAGCACTTTTGTCAGACTTGAGAAAACGAAGATTTCGTGATTAGTAAACTTATTGAACAGAGTACAATATGCAGAATGACTAGCACTATTGTCTGCTATAGACTACGATGTATTCCACCACCCAGAAGAAGCTGCATCACACACGTTATATATCCGTAAAAAACTGACTCTCATTGATCATCGCTCGCGCCAAGCCATAGCTGTTTTTGCCCATGGATCGCACAGTTACCCGCAATCGAACGATCAAGCAGATGTTTCTCTTTCAGTTTTTCTTTATCTTCTTGAGTTTATGTCCACATTATTGTCTCGACTTAGCCACGGGAGCAACACAAGCCTCGTCATTGCATCGTCATTGTGTGCAATCGCACAATCAAGCTTCAATCAAACCCGATTTTAGCGTAGTGACGTAATTTCGCGACAGTTGCATAAAGCGCAAGAGATACATAGGGATGAGATAGACCGGTATGACCGCATACAGTCGGAGCTGATCAGGATTCAAATATCTGCAAACTGAAAATGTTGCGTGCAATGAATGATGATCATTGTGGCATTTTGAAAATGTGTGAGGATAGGGGATGTTTGAATTTGGAGGGTAAAGTGCCGGGCATACTTCATGCGATTTCAGTAGCGACTCGATTTGGCAAGATTCCAACTCTCCATAACTCGGTGTTAGCAGATTTTAAATGTACAGAAGATAAGGCTTTTTTCAATCCACGTAAGTTGTACACTTTTGTGCAGCTAATGTTGGACCTGAAGACTTCTGGAAAATTGCCAACTCGCGTCGCGACTGAAATCGCGTGAAGTATGCCCGGCCCTTAAAGCGGGTAAGGAATGGGGATTTGGTTGTCAATGATTTGAGGGGATAGAGTAGCGTAAGTCATATCCCAAAAGTGCTCTTGACGTTTCTGATGTTAGCAAGTGTCTGGAGCAATTTATCTTTGTTGACTCAGTTCTGCGGTACTCTTGGTTATCTCAGTTCTCGTTCATAGGAGTAATGCCAATCAGACAGTAAAACGTGTATGTTTCCATCTCTAAATCTTCAAAAATCGTTCATTGTCAAATGTAGCCCCGTGCTAAAAACTCTTCTGTAAGTGGTCACTTTTAACAATTTTTAACACCCGAAAAAATTTTTAGACGTTCTTGTGGATATGTCCGCTTTTTTGAAAGCAAAACTTCTTCACAATCTGTCTCAGTCCCAATCAGGCCAAAATTGGCATGGCGGGAGTCCGCGTCGCTAGACTTTTGCGTCACAGCCTGCCTGCTCTTTCTTCACTCTCTTCGCTCTCTTCGACAGGGGCGCATGTGCAGCGCAAACACCTAGCGCTGCGTGCGCGCATTATGCCATCACTTCGACCTGATCATTTGGGACAAGCTGTAATCCAGTATCATGTAGTTTTTGCTAAACTGCAAGAAGATAGGGCTTTCTGTACAAACGTCAAAAGCTCTCGCTGATCTCTCCTCAAAGCTGATAAACTTGAACAGATCTTGTTGTGCAGTAAGATTTCTATCGTCAACGTCTGTATAAAATTAAGACTCTCCAAGTGCTCCAGATCGCAAAAGCGGGGCCGGCGCAGGTGGCTTATATGCAAGCTGGATATCGTTTTTGGGACAAAAAGCAAGGGGGATATCGTTTTTAGGGGTCGGAAAAACACAAGGAAAAACACAAGTTAGGCTAGGTTTTTTAGTCGACGTTTCGTTTAATCGATCGGATAATACGGATAAGTCTCAAGAGGGACTTGGTAAAATCTTGCGCAGTCATGGAGACTTCGTTTTTAGCAATTTTGCATCACACATCGTGCTGAGTCCTTATGTCCTTGCAGTTTCATGGGAACCAAATAATCCAAGCTAAAAATCCAAGATTCTAAGGTATCTTCGTAGGGGGACTCATCTACAGGTAAACTACTCTTTCTGCTAGTTGTGTACAAATGAGATATAAAACAAATAAAAAAGCAAAAAAAGATCTGATGACGTTTTTTAAGAAATTCTGAGTAAATTTTTCCACAGGTTTTGTTCAACAGTGACCTTCCAAAACGAATGGAAGTCAAAATAGACCTTATAACCTGTTTCCAGGTTATAAGGTCAAGTGTTGATCCAAATTTCGCCTTCTTAACGTCCAGTTTAACTCAATCCAACTTCCTAGATTTCAAAACAATCACTTCGCTATTCCAATTTGCTCTTTGCGATGTTTGCTGCGCCGATTGTTGAACAATTGAGAAACAGGCTTTCGCTGCATCGAAAGCGTTTACGAGGCGTTTTCGTTGATGACCACGGCGATTCACTATGCTAATCTAGCATCGCCGTTAACTGCATCGGGCTTCCTAGACGGCGACACCTGATGCTTACCGTATAGCCCTCGCGACAGTTTCATTTTCCCGATCGCGATCGAGGCGGAACTTGCCGTAACCATTTTTCGTGAGACAGAAGCCTAAGTGAAGCTGAGTGGAGAGGGTGGGGGGGGGGGGGAGTATTCGCTATCATTGTAAATTAGAGGGTATTCCATTGCAGAAGTGACTTACCCAACCTTTGACTTAATGGCAATGTTTGGACATATTGAAAACCTAGGCTTCCTAGGTGGGAAGTGACTGGGTAGTCCTAACTAAAAGCAGAAAAGAAAATAAATTTAATCAATATATACGATTTCCGTTTCGTTTCCTCCACTTGACGAAAAAAGGAAAGGAGTAAAATCTTTCCCGGGAATCATCAGTAGTGAAGGAAGGTAATAGGCATCAAAAGTTAAGGGAAAAATTTGGAAAAACTAACCTTAAACAAAGAATTTTTACTGAACTCACATTGCCTTGGCCTTGTATCTCGAACTTGGGTAATCAAACCGTATACAAAAGTCATTGCCCACGCGAATCATACGACATTCGTGGGTGTGAAATTAAATCCTAAACTCTCACCCAATACCGTCATCTCCACAAATGGACTAATCAGCACACTCGGGCACTAAGCAAAAATGTATTTATTTTTCATCACCAAAGAAGAACTGAGCTTTCGCTTGAGCAATACTTCAACTGGAATTTTTTCAACTAGCTTAAGTAAGGAACTGAGGTAGCCAGATTTTCTAAGCTATACTTCAAAGCAAGTATGTTTAGCAAGATAAAGATTTTCTGCTTCTCGCCCTTCTCCATGATTTTACCAGCGGGGTCCAAAACGGGTTTCCTAGAAGTCGTAAATCAATCTCACCCGCCTGGATGTAGATTGACAACGCTACCGAGAATTATGCAAATAAGGGAGAAAAAAGTTGGAGGAAACCGGGTTGAGTGCGCTTGTCCCATTGAAATACAACATGGAAATGACGTACAGAATAAACCTACATATACCCCACATTTGCTCGCTGTTCGAGAAGGTCGCTATGGCCTCTCTCTCGATGGAGGCCTTAGGCATATTGTTTGTTACTCCCGTTAGAGTAATCATTAATTGGGCTCTGATTGTAAGACCACATTTACATAATCTCACAATTCATAAGATATGCATTTGTATAGCAAAGATACGAATAAATATTTATTTAGCCCTCAACTCGATCACAGAACGCGATAACAACCATGATTGTAGTCTATAACACCCCTATCAAAAAACTCATAGCATCATGGATAGATTTTAAGCAGAAGAAAACGAGAGACAATACCATGTTTTCCGTATCAACAAGCAAAAAAATAGAGGAGTGACCATAATTCGTTTATAAACAAGTAACCCAGAATCTGGAATAAAAACGTTGAGAACAGGATTGCCTGATCAGTGAGTACTGCCTGTTCAATTACACACAACCTTGGGACTAACCATAACAGGCAATGACGATACTGACAGGCACAAAAACATATAAAAGAAATGATATCAAAATTCGAAATCGCAAATTATACAGCAACGCCAGATATGCAAGGACAAAACCATGAAAAATGACTGGATTTGTAGAGGATTACAATAGGTGAATTTGACATAAAAACTCTTCAACGTTTTCTGTGCTCATTTTTGTCATATTGCAAATCATAAACTACGCATTATGCATGTTACGCAAAAGGACTGGCACTTACACGTATGAAAGAGCAGCCGTACACCGAAATACTCTCAGGTTTTATCTTTCTTAATCTTCTCCATGAAATGCGCCTATCCACAAAATGCGCCCACCAACATTTACAGATTACATTCATACTATCTGCACATAAGCGCCATCAGAAATAAAATGCAGTGTGCGATAAAACAAATCGAAACATAACAAGGAGAATAAACGTTTGGGAAAATCACAAAATAGCTTATCGATTTTTTAATTCCCTGTAGGCGTTCTTTGATGCTCGACCGCAAAGGCAACCGATTATCAATATGACACCGACAATTCCAGCCAACCAGAACAGTAATGAAGTCTGAAAACATACATGAGTAGTATTCTATTTAGAATCTCATCAATCATTCGTAGTCAAAAGGGGCAAAGGAAGGGAAATGGGGTACTCTTGATGAATTCTGCAGAAGGAGAACTCGGTGCAAAACGAAAACCAAAAAACTGCTGATCCAGGTTTTGATGACAAATTACAATCTAAGCTCATTTCCGAACCAATTCTGTGAATTCTAGTTTGAACACTTGGCAATGTGGAAAATGCATCTAGTTTTCTATATAGGTATAAACGAGCCTTTTTCCAAGCTGCAAGTTTCAATTTAAATAAGTACAAACGAGCCATTTGAGTAAATTTAAAACTCAGTTCACCGTCTAGCCGGAAGACAATAAAAGAAAAGGTATAAGAGAACAAAACTCTAAGAATGGAGTGATAACACAACAGTTACCTTGCGTGGGTGATTTGCAATCATATCGTAGACTTCGTGCCAGCTTTCTGGATACGGCATTTGGTAGTCCTGCAAAAGCAAACAATGCTCAATTCTCTACAGACTACACAAAAAATTGAATCAAAAGACTGCAAACTGACCGCATGAGCTTTCACCCAGAGTTTGTTTCTATCCATGAGTTTATTTCGACAGTCAGGTGTCATCTGTACATTTGTTCGTTCTGCAGCGTCCATCAGACAGATTATGACTAAAATCATCTTTATAGAGAAACATAAAAAGCTGGTGAATCTCCTTGGGACCGCGGAAGATTCCACAAACCTCGGCTATGACCAGGTACAACGTCTTGGCACAACCGTTGTATGTCGACGGAGCAGGCTTCGTGTAGTGATGGATCAAGATGAATGTCAACCATGGTTTCTTCGACGCGACGGGCCAGCTGCAAAATTTATTTTGAGAAAATAACAATACAAACAACTCGTGTAATATTAATTAATTAATTTTTGCACTCACCTCCTTGCTACAGTCTCTATCTGCGATAGCTCCCTTGTAGAAATCTGCTTTGAGGCATTCCAACACAGTATCAAAACCACCGCTCTGAAATATACTGCGTTGAAAGTGGCCTCTAACTTTCAATATCAAACCTTCTCTATGATTTGCGAAGAGCAATGCAATTTGATTGTATCTTGGCATGCATGGTACAATGGTGGATCGAGTTGTGGGTCGAGCTCTGCATCCACAATGGCTTTGGTTATCTGAAAAAAGGGACCGCTCCAATGGAGTAAAAAACAATGAAAACAGATAAAAAAGGCGCTTACTTCTTCCATACATGGTGCACTCAAATCTATGCGGTTGTGGGCAGATTGTCGATATTTCTCCCTCAAACAACCAACAACTGCTCCTTCCAAGACTTTCTGAGCGTACTGCGGCATATTCATCTTTCGGATCTCGTCTGCGCAACTGCAAAATTGTGAATCGAGTTGTGAGTCTCAAGTTTTTTCTAGCAAATTCTGAATTATGAAGCACACCCTAGTATGAAGCCTTTCGCAGCATCAATATCAATAATTAATGACTTTCGCACAAATTGGACTATAATAACTGCACAGTTTTATCCATATAAAAAACTCGCGCCCAAGAGATTGACTATAAAAGACGTTTGGGGAAAGTACAATATCCAATGACTTCAATGACCATAGCGCCGTTTGTGTGTCATTTCATTCAATCACCCTCGGGTATATCTGGATGATCCTCGTATGAATTGATTATGATTTACCTCAGCGAAAAACCGAGCCGACAGTACACATCGAGCCACGGAAAACGGTGTGAGGATGCTATTATAGGGATTGATCCAATAGAATTATTAACCTGTCGACCTATCGCCGGCGTATCTCTCACGGGTCGCAATCAGCCACCGATATCTCTCGCCTATTGGGAAAATTACTTTCTTTTTGCTAGCTATTAGCAAATTCTCAAAAATTCAAAAACAGCCTAAGAATTTTTCAATCGGGTTACGCGTATGTTAGAGTGACAAAGCGTGTGAAAATTCCTTGAAACCATCTCTTTCTTTGATGAACTCAGCTATGCTGTACTTTTAGATTGTAACCGATTTCCAGAATACTTTCCTTTTTTCTTCTGCTTATAAAAATTTCATTGTTCAAGTCTGCGGCTTAAATTCATATATTGAAATTTACAAAGCTGTACGACAGTTTTTTTAGCTCACATTTTTCTCTTTTCTTTTATTTTTTTTGTTCATTCCCTCTTTTCCTTCGCATATTTCAAACAAGTTGGGGAAATTCTCTTTGACCAACAAAAATTCAAGAATCCATACGCTTCGGAAAAGCAGGTAAGCTAAGAAACTGAATTCGTCGACAAAATGCTGCCTCCCTTTGAATCTTTCTGAGAACACTTAACAACTTCTAGATAAAGTGAGAGAAAAATTTTCCTATTTTTGACATTGCGTTCCATAAGTTGCACAGAAAAAAAGCATCGCTCGTAAAAAGAGAGCGAGTTTTGCTGTGCTGGAAAAAAATGTGGTGAAAAACGCGCACATCTATCTGGGCGAATAACTTGTAGACAGGTTTACGAAAATGTGCAAAAAATTCGCGTTCCCCTTTGCTCACACAAACTTCAAAGTATGAAGATGATGGCGGTAGAAATCGGAAAATATACAATCCCCTAGTATTCCCCAACACTTGTTCTTCAAATGACTCATTCTTCATAACCAGCAACGACCCTGAGCGTCCTTGTTGGTTATTAGTAACACTTACTGTGTTTCCGCTTCGACTTTGCACGCGCTGAGTAATCCAGGACGTAGTCGAATGTCTCTCGCTGCTTCGCGCATACGTTCCTGGAAGCATCGCAATGTACCAGGCCTAATTCTCGCATAAAATGAATTGATACAAACCTGCACAACAGTTCGGCAATCTTTCTGCAACAAACGAACAACCTTCATATTCGTAAGACAAGTGAGCACATTTTCTCCTTGGTTCGGGCAGAATTTGTCAATGTCATATTTGCATTTCTTCTGAAAAAAGGCTACTTAAACAAATCTTGAGCTGATATTTAGTTAACGCTTAGAAACTGATCCATAATAATTTATACCCAAGTGCTCACCTGAAGTTCATCATCCATACTGTTATCAGCAGCTTCAATCTTCTCGCGGTAGAATATCATAGACTTGCATTCAGGGCCTAAATGAAGCAATGGGCATCGTAGAAAAATCAATAAAAAAATAAAACCGAAAAAAGCTTCGACAATCTTAAAGCTTACCTAGACTATCGAAGTTGATCCTCAAGCATTCCACCTGCTCTTCAAACGATTCAGCTTTGTCGCAGTTGAACTGACGAATTTCTCTGCCACATTTCTCTGCGAATTTCGGATCAGCATCGGCTAAGTGCTCCTTGTCATCGAACTGAAAGCAAATGCGCACGCTTTGTGGTTTTTAAAAAAATTTCATTCAGTTGTTTGGAAGTAGGCTACATAAGGGCCTTAAAAGCCAACCAAAACGAGGCATCCAGCAGTGAGATAGCAAAACACAAAAAAATGCTTATACATGAACAAAATTAGCTAAAAGAAATATTAGATGGTGGGATGTGTCTGATAGCAAAGTTCTGCATGCATAGCTTTGAAACTTCTACAAGACGGGTAGTCAAAAACATGAACGCCACTTTGACGCACGATCTGTTTTATTGAGAAAAACCTGCCCACAACACAACTCACTTCTACCTGTTCTTGCTGTAGATAGGCGACTTTCAGTTGTTTTTTGCATGGCTCTGATAGATCTGCTTTTGTTCCCAGTACTTTATGCTCAAAACGTACTTCGGATAAGCAACGGATGATCTCTCCTCTAAAATAGACTTTGCGAATGCTTCAGAATAGCTGAACATGGGCGAGAAACCCCTAAGACGCAAAAAAGCCATTGAGCAAATACGACACAAAGACAGCTTTGAAATGCTAAAAACTAGGCAAACGCACTTGTCATTTCCATGATTAGGACAATGCCTTTCAATATCGGGAGTGCACGCTTTCTGGAATCTATATGAGAAGTGGTAGTCTCGCAATGACACCAGTTCGAAGTGATTGACGTATGATTTACACTTTGATGTCATTTCTGGCTTATCCTGAATCATCACTTTGTGTAAAAATGAAAATTAACACAAATGTGAAAAGAACAGAAAATTCTCGCAACTACTCCACGTACTTTATGCATTGCAAGGCATTCCATGACATCACCATGATCAATTTCTTCATTGGCAAATTCCTAAAAGTGTCTAGTAATAATAAGAATTTGAATTAAGAAAGACGAAAAAAGAAGTGGATAATAATCGAAGAGGAATATACCTGGCAATAAGTTGCAATCACTGGTCGGCATGCTTTGGTCAATGCTCTGTTCAATTTCGTGTCTTTGGCTTCCATCTCTGTGAACCGTACCAATTCCTTATGGCAGAGATTGTGCTTTCGAATAAATTCGGGCTTCTCGAAATGATCTTGCAAGCAGTTCATCTCCTATATAAACCAATTTGAGAGTCTTAAGAGTGCAACGACCAGTTTTACCTCCATTGGCTGAACATTGTGAGAGCAATATTCGGAAAGAGCGTCACGACAGGAATCTTCTATTTCTGGTATGAGGTTGACACGAACAGCTCGAGAGTGTAACACTCGCCTCACTTCCACTCCACATTTTCTGGACAGCTAAAAATAAACAGAATGAGCGCTAGTCTAGGATGATTCAGCGCACATGAAAAAGTCAAATCGAAAATCATAGCATTTAGTCATCGTATTCGCTGAACATACGTCAATTTTGCCAAAAAAAAATTCAGTTATTCGTCAAAACTACTGATACGTCATGTAAACGCTGCAGAAAATCATCAACAAAGGAGAAATATGGCAATAAAATTACTATCATGAACTATGTAACATACCGGTTCTTGCTCATCATATGCACTTCTGTACAAACAAGCAAGCACTGCAGGTCCTGGATCTGGACCCATAGCTTCTTGGGCCATGTGCCAGTTCTCTCTTGCATGACATCTTCAGAGGAATACAAGAATCAAGAAAATACCAGAATAAATGTGATACGCCAAACAGACCTTCTGACGGCCTCATCGTGGCAAGCCGCATAAAGTTGTGGATCCAACGACCAGTCTCTGGCCAGGAAGTACTGCACTTCAAGGAGTCTCTTTTCACATACAGGATTCATATCAGAACTGTCTACATGACGCATTAAGCACGTCAGCGTAGCTTCTTCTGAGCTAGCATCTCTTGCGCACACTCCTGAACAGGCAAATATCACTATCCCTTCAGAAGGGTCTTTTAAGTGACTAACCATCAATGAGAGTTCTGCAAGATGCATATAGGACCTTATCAACCTTGTAGTTAGTTCCAATGTCAGCAACCTAACAACATACTTTGTATTCAAGCAGAAAACAAGACAAAGCTATAATTTACCTTGACCACTTCTTTGACAGCTTGCATGCATTGCGGACCAAGTTTTAGTGTCTTGTCGGTAGACTAAAACGATAGAACTTATAGATGTTGACGGACCAAAAGGATAATCGAACTACCATAAACTATTTCCTATTATTTCATCAATTAAATAAAACTGATATGAAAACGAGATCTCAGCCATAATCATCTATACATATAGAATTACAGAGACACTGCAGAACAAGATTCTCACCGATGCATGTTCCATCAAACAATGCAGTGTTCTTCCTTCAGCTTCGATATCTCCACGTGGACTACACCATTTGTCGATTTCTTGCGCACAATTCATTACCAGCTCGGGTGCCATACGGAATTCAGTTAGCATCATCTGACGATGTGATACCATCTCGTGCTGACATTGAGCTGATGGTGGGTTGGTTCCCTATAGAAAAATTAGTTATACCTTGATAATAAGATTATGGAAATTGAAATTACCTTCGCCTGATGAGCACCATTCTCCAAACACAACAAGATCCAAGCCAAGTGGAAGTGAGCGGCAGCTTCGTATTGGCTTTGAGGTTCGCATTTGTACCTATGAAGAAAAGATCAAATGTTCAAAACATTTACAACTCCTGAATTTTATAAATAAAAAAGGTTCTGAGCGAAAATTCTTACTCTTTCATTTCCTTCTCGCAACCTCGCACAAGTGGATGAGCCATGCGGTAGTCTCTACCCATGAAGTATGCGCGCTCAGCAAGCAGCGCACCACACTAAAAATATAACGATGGCAATCAGGAAAACTTGAAAATAATATGTGTAATTACCTCAGGCTCCATGAACTGATCGAACCGCTTGCTAAGCAAACACTCGAAAACTTTACCTTGCCCAGCAGGAACATCTTTGCAGTAGGTCTACAACAACAATAGATTTATGGTAACAAACATGCATCAAAAATTGAGAAAGAGACATTCATACCTCTCTAGCTTCCCTGCAAGCAAAGAATAAGGGTCTGTCGAGATGGAAATCGTCGGTTTGCATTTCAACAAGTCGCATGACCTAGAAGGAGAAAGCAGAAATTACAACAGCTAAACAGATAAGAAAGACATGAAATCAAACCAACCTCATGCCTACAACCTGGGTCGAGCAGGCTTAGAGGATCAGCGTTTTCTTTAGAGTGCTTCACTACTTGACTGATCAAGCATTCAAGCGCCATTCCTGAAGAAATGCACGTCGAATAAAAAGTAAAAAATTAAAAATGACAACGACTGAGATGCCGAGGGACATCACATAAACAATGTACGACAATACCTTGGGTATGCGGAACTTTTACTCCTTGATGTGCACTGTGTGGAGTCAAACTGCCGCATCCTAACTGGCTTACAGTATATCCGCACTTCTCCACGAATGGGCCAACCAGGCGGAAGTCGGCGAATGCCAGACGTTCGGTCCTAGCTATAAACATATATTAGGTTGGCACGAAAGTTCTTGCGTAATTCAAACAAAATTCAATAACTTTTCAAAGACTAAACCAAAATTCACATTCTTGTATGCTAAAAATATTAGAAGCCTTACGCTTCATGATGGATGTTAAAGCATAAGATTCCGTGAGCTGGACATCAAGAACGAAGCTATCGAATATGGGGCTTCAAATTTTGCGATTTTGAGTTTGGTGCCAGAAAATCGCAGAGTGTCGCTAGCTAGCCGACAAAAATCTGTAGAATTTACCTACACAACAAAAGTCCATATGTTACCTTGGAAGGCTTTGATCTTGCACAGTGAAGCAAAAACAAAAAATTCGTGAATTATGTCATTTTGCGGAAAAAATCCCCTCATGTTCGCAGTTTTCCAGCGAAAACACTTTTTTACAATCGAGAAAACGTCGCAAGGCTCTAAATAGGCACTATGTCTAATTTCTGGTTGCAAACTGTGTTTCTGTGGAAAAATTAGAGCGATAAGGGGATTTTTCTTGTGAAACGACAAATTCCACAAATTTTTTGTTTTCGCATTTCCATGCGAGATCAAAACCTGCTAAAATAACGTATGGACTTCTGCTGTGTGAGTAATTTTTATAGATTTTTTTTCGGCTAGCTAGCGGCCCTCTGCAATTTTCTGCCACCAAACTCAAAATCGCAAAATTTGAAGCCCCATATTTGAGAGCTTCGTCCTCGCGGGCTAACTCATGGAATCTTGCGCTTAAACGTTCATTATGGAGCGCAGGCCTTCTAATATTTTTGTAGAACAAGATTGTGAATTTAGGTTCAGCAGTTGAAAAGTTATTGATTTTTGTTTGAATTACGCAAGAACTTTCGTGCCAACCTAATATTATGCTGACATGAACCATGAAAGTTATGAGTGAATTTAAAAAAACCTACACAAGAATTGGTGACACTGTGATGTCGCGGTGACGTTGCCAACAAATTCAAGCATACAGCTGAGCGCGTAACCCGGCTTTGTATATTCAGCGCACTTTTGGAATGCTAGAAAGCAAAAAGTTTTACGGCAGGAAGAAGGATCAAAAATAATGACAGATGAAAAAAAAAACTTACCCGGCATTTTCGCCATATCCTCCTTACAATAGTTCTTAGCAGCTATCGTAAATCGTTCGTCTTGGGTAAGTTTGACCTGAGATGCAATTATGATTCGATATGTAAGATAAAGCAAAAAGAGTTTAAAAAAACCTCACTACACAATTATAATAGAATCGATTGATCCTCATGATGCATAAAATTACGATATTGGAAATGAGCAAATGGAACTCACCTTGAACTGCCATACGAGATCTTCGCACTGCTTTGTCAAAGTTGCTGCCAAAGTTTGTCCAGCATCTTGCAAGCATTCGAGAATGGATAAATCACTCTTCAGATCCACCCCTTCCTAGAAAGAATATTTGCAGAAAAGCTAATCTAGTGCTGCCACAGGTCTCATTTTCGTGAAATCCGCTAAAAGGGCAAATGTAGCTCATCCATTAGGTCCAGTCAATTACTGAAAGCGCGCTCTCGTTCGCAGCGAACTCGTAAAATTGAAAATTTCAACGCTTGCTTTGAGTGAGCAAGTCCTCGCAAACGAAATCATCCCATTAGAAAGTTTGTTTATAAAATAAAAAATAAATATCATCTAAAAATGGCTTTTTTCGGAAGATAATTTGTGTTTGTTCTACTGATAAATTCATTAACTAATTCCGAGCAAATCAGGCAGCCAAGGCCCATCAAATAACGAGTAACAGACCTTGCTACATAGACGGTGTATATCCTCTTTACAGGCATCAAAACTAAGAAGAGTCTCGCCTCCTTGCGCATTGGCTCCGGCTTGGGGCTGTGGCTGACTGTAAAATATCTGATTCAATTGACATTCAACCCTTCACCTACTACAGCTAACTCACGCTTGTTGTTGCATCGGCTGTTGCTGTTGCATCGGCTGCTGCTGTTGCATCGGTTGTTGCTGTTGTTGCATCGGTTGTTGCTGCTGTTGCAGTGGTTGTTGAATTTGCTGTGGAGGGTTCATCTGTTGTTGGCCTAAAATTGCGTATGTATCATGAAGATCAAATAGAAGATGCGTTGTGGTGCAGCACTACACTTGTACATGTTCACGAAAAAAAAAACATGATAACCTACGAAAATCAAACCGATTGCCTGGAAGTAATCATTATGCAATTTTTGCAACAAATCTGAATTCCATAAAAATTATCTGAAAACTTCCACGACTTACCATTCGCTAGAGTACAAAAAGCCGCTAGGCATAGAAGGATAACCATAGGTATCCGTTCCATATTCAGCCTAACGGGTGTATAGCCAAGTATCTGCAAGAAAAATAACGGATAAAAAGTCTCAAGGGCGCGACTAAAGGAACAGGCGGAAAGAGATACGAGAATAAAATGTGAGCTTGTTTACACAGGGTCACGAAACAGCTGTAGATACAAAAAACAAAGCAAGATGAATTATTCAGAAGTTGCCTACGGATAATCTTGACTATGAGGTCAATTCGGGTTAACATGCGGAAATCAGAGATAAGTATGAAATGGCTTAGACTGAAGAAAGAATGGCCGAAGTTGTCGAAATTAGCAACAGTGAATATACGCAGATAAGCACTAAAAATACATTGTAAAAAAATTTCAATAAAAGTGTCAAAAATCAAATCAAACTTCATAAGGTTCCAGCCACATATGGGACGTGAGTAAAAAATTTTTTTATCACGCCTACGCAAAAAAATGTTACAATACACATATCTGCCCTTGAGTATACGATCGATGAAACGAAAGAACTGCACAAAAATACAAATTGTACTATCTCATTGTCAGCTCCTTCTGCGCTTACAGCAAATTTGAAGAAAAAAATAGCGTCGATATTCACATTATCAATAGTAGAGGCGCATTTGTGATATACTTTGTTATTCACCCTTCAACAAACTGTGAATGATAAATGTCCTGTAACACGAACTCTTGCGCCGCATGGAACACGTTCTGTTGTGAACCAAGCGAACAAAAATAGGAAAAAATTACACAAATGCGAACGAAGAGATGAAGAGGAGAGGTCACCTCGCCGGTATCTCTAGTTCTGCCGACGCAGAACTTTATCAGATTGGAAATGTGTTCTTGGAAAATACGGAAAACCGGTTCTCGATCGATGTCTTGCATCTCTCACCTGCGGTTTCCATACTTCTTCAAATCAATGCGCCGTTCGCAGAAAAGAAATGTCTACCTGCTCGTCCGATTTTATGGGGCGATAAAAACTGCATTCAACAAAAACTGTCATTAGCGGGGCTCTAGCTAGAAGGACCCTCCGAAATTCATTTGCTGAGCATGTTGACCAACGTTTTTCTAGGATAAACGGTCCCTGAACCTCTCATGCGCAAGCAGAATCCAGAAAAAACAGCGTCAAGGAATAGGTTTCACAGCTCAACTAATTGTTCTTAAATATCTACACTGTCGCGCTTCCTCGCAGCTAAACTACAATTTGCCGCCAAACCAGACTTTTCAAGTACCCTTACTTGTCTTTTCTTCCATCTTGAAAATTGAAAGTCGCTCTTGTTATTTTGACTTTGACCTTGTCTTTCTGCTGGTACTATGCTGCGTCTTCGTCGTTCACTTACTCGTTTTTCGCTTTCCCTCATGGAAAATGTACTAATCTTCTGAATAAAAACTGGACTACTATATCTGAATCTTGACGATCCTCGCATAGCACAAGTATGCAGCAAGTTTCCATGAAGTTCATACAATGTTTGCACTTTCACGACTCCATATATAGAAATGAAAGTTTTCCCAGGAATAAAACTACGGTGTACAAATGCTTCGTAGCTAAGTATGGTGTTTTTTTTAACGCTATCCTATCATAGTACATAATTCGTTAGCCAAAATAACCATCCAGTAAGGATTCCTGTATGCGAAAATGAAGCAAGGTATACTTTGTCTACAATTCGCAGAGATAAGAAATTTAGAAAAAAAGTTATGTCATCATGCTAAATTCGATGGAAAAATGGTATGCAAAATTTAAAAATCTATGAAAGCCATACTCCTCTGGAGGCGCAGATGCGATAGAACATGCTAGTGTTGTGTAAACAAACAAAAAAATAGGACAAAAATGTAAAGATACTATAACTAATGAAGATGATATTGTACCAGAATCTTACTCTCCGCGCAACCATACATGCTCCAGATGTTCGCTTTGTGTTCTTGCAAAGAAATCGAAGAACGATGAATGATGGTTCGTCTTGTCAACGAAAACACATTTTCGACCATAAAAAAGTACGGATGGGAGAAACTAAAGTGCCTATGACCTCGTAAAAAGAATTATTGTCGAGATATCGTGATCAAGGGAGAAAAAACATTTACTTATACGGTGAAACACAAAGCTGATCATTATGTTAACAGGAAACAGAAATGCTGATGAAATTGCGAGAGAATCAACACAATTCTAACGACAAATAGCTAAACCATCAATTTTTGTCGATATACGAGACTAGATATCAAAAGGCGTGCATTCATCGTTAGCCACAAGTAATATTGATTCGGCTATTCGAGACTGGGTAAATAAACGTGCAGAAAAGTCGCAAAAGGTGGAGTACAAAACGTAAAAGGAGAATAAAAAGAACCGCCCACTAGGGTAAACATAACGGATCATTCAAAATAGTACTCCTTCACTAGATAAATGGACTAGCACGCTAGCAGGCACTTACATGAAATCAATCTGTGACAAAGGTACGATTCATGGTGCATCCGAGTAAATCAAGCTCAACTAGCTAAATCACACGTATAATAAAATGCAACGGTCTAGCCGTGATTAAAACTTATTCCATCATCTTCTTATTCATATAAGCTTTCCTATCAAATTTTTAGGTAGTCAAAAATGTGAACAATAATAGGTTTTCTTGCAAGACCTCCAAAGAGTTGCATAACTTTCAAATGAAATGGGCAAAACAACTGAGGCCTATGCTTGAAGTCAATATTATAATCTACTTATGAGCACGAATCTCAGAGACGTTGGTAACAGAGATTTTTCTCCCCCTCTCCTAACTGCAAGTACGTGCATAAGGGCCTAGACATTAATTTCGGAATTTTATCAGTATTAGTACCTTTGTTCATAGTATTATCGAAAGGCGATTTCGACTCACCCTTTGCCCTGTTCATACTCGACGATCCATAATGTCTTGACCATTCCAACGCAGATAATCGCGCAAAATCTACGATGCCCTCACTCCGGTTGAAACTATGCAAGAAAGGAGCTTTATGTGGTTCAAAACATATCATACCAAACTTTTGATTGTTAGTTCAAAACAGTCATTCAGAGAGATAATATCTCAATTAGAACACGATAGTGGTTCTAGATAAACCTATAAGAAAAAGGAAACTGAAGGAATAAATCGCAACTGCTTTACGGTGGGATTGCTGAGCTTAACCAAGATTGGTATAATAACTTTTATTGGCTGACGTCGACGTTTCGGCGATCTACGCCTTCTTCGGAGCCTGGAAAGGCGAAGTCATAAGCATCTATGACTCTATGATAGATGCTTATGACTTCGCCTTTCCAGGCTCCGAAGAAGGCGTAGATCGCCGAAACGTCGACGTCAGCCAATAAAAGTTATTATACCAATCTTGGTTAAGCTCAGCAATCCCACCGAAAAGTGACTATAACAATGCCAAGATTCAAGGAAAGCCGAACCTTTACCGCAACTGCTTTATATTTGACGTTTTTCAGCTAAAAGTGACCTGTACAACTAGTTTCGAATGGAAAATATAGGACTGATGAGAAAAGTGAGTTATAAAACAAAAGCCAATCCTGATTTACATAGTGCAAGACTAGTGAATCGACAATACCAGAAAAGTGATGACGTGTCGGATGCCTTCTCAACAGGAAAAGAAATCAGAACCATAGTACAATGTTTCTAGAAACTAAGCACCTTGAAAAAACAGTAACCATTCACAGAATTGCATTGCTCTTGCAATATTCCAAATTACTACGCAAACGTCAGCCGCAAAGCTCGATGACGAGGCGTGGCAGATTAGCGTGCTTAAATCAGGTAACAACATAGTATCGTCGCATCCTCGTTATACGATGGACGGAGCATTGCAGACATTCGAACACGTTGATACTGTTGAACCTCTTCTCTAGCGCCCCTTCGCTCACTCGCTGTCAGAAAGTGCCACGTGTACATGCATGTTGTCAGTGGAGGTTCAACGAGTTTACTAACGCGCTCAAATGTCTGCAATGCTCCACCCAACGTATAGCATAAAGGCGACAATTTATGACTTGACTTTTCTAGCAGTGTCTGATAAAAGTCATCGTTATGGAGATAACGGAAACAGAAAATAATTATAGGTCGGGCAGATTGTGAAGAATTGCAAACTGCGTGCGAAAAGTAGCACAATATTTTGTAAAGCAACACAAGATACAGAAATCAATCTATTTACATCATTGAGCAGGCTTGAGGAAGAATCCTGAACTAACAGGAAAACTTACCTATGTAAACATAGCGACAGTTCCTCGGAAATTACCACACGGTGTACTTGAGTGATTTCTTTTCCAACACCTCTACAGGCGGCGTAGACTGTATAGATAGCAAAAAAAGAACATCTGGTACTGGGCAAACTTTCAGACATTCAGATACAAAAGGGCTTTAAACACGTAATTTTACAGATTCGCAGGAAAACTGGGAAGTGAATGATTTCAATAGCGTCAACAATTTGCTAATTGTAAGGACAAGAAAACTCAGTGTCTAATGTCTCAAAAGAGACCCAGTCCACTTGAAGGCTGCTCTGCAAAGGTGAAATGGTTTGAGGAAAGAATGAGATAATGATTGTAATAGGATCATTAGAAGACTACGGCAACAGGATGGAAGTACGCAGACTTCTAAAGGTGACTTTAAAAAAGATTTGGGGCAAATACGACATGACTTAAATCGCTCCAACATGGCAGCTGAATCACCCCATACAAAATTTGCTGACTGCACGGAGGATAAACTGGACAAAGACTTTGTCGACAACGCAAGCAGTACAGAAAAGGTTATAAAGCCGAAAAATGGCAATTTGTATCCTGTTTCTATGCAACAAGTGATGAATTGTCGGCAAGGCTGTTGCCTTGGTGCACCAAGCAACAAAAAGGAACTATTGCACAAAACAGTCGCAAAGCTTTTTGACCGGGGCGATGCACCTATTCTCATAAATATGTGAAGATCTAAAGTCAAATATCAAAGGTAATGTGGCCTTGCATAACGGTGCGTACAGATACGACGAAAGTTCGTAAATGAGGTCACATACGCGACGGGAGGGATAACCGAACAGGTTTTGGAATGGCCGGAAAGCTGGTC